TATGCAACTCTCCCACTTCAGTAGATATTTTTTAAACTCTCCATCAAGAAGTTGAAAAATTCCCTCACCAGTGTTGTTAGTTGATTCAGATAAAGAAACCAGTGATGATACGATTTGTCCTTTTTCTTCATCATAATAATTAAAAATTAAAGGATATAGCTTTTTATCTGATATGTCATTGCTTCCGTCAGTGGAAAGAGAAAATAATGATGTTCTGAGCTTACTTAGAGTACTCTCTCTTATCCCCTCAGCAGTGGAAACAGTTATTGCCTGGGTCTTGGTATGTCCACACCCATACTTTTTTGCAATGTCGGAATCTGGGAGCATTTTTTTAAATAAGGCGCCAGAATGATCGGAAGCAGATAGAGAAATATTGTGCTCAATTAAAAACCGTACGAACAATACTTCAGCTTTAATCACTCCATTTTCTTCTAATTTGGAAGAATAAAAATTGTTAATAGGTTGCTGATGCACCTGTGCTTTTGCAGTAGCACAATGTTTAGGACCGATCACGTGTCGGCGACAATCATCCAGTCCACCGTGGACAATTGAGAATTCCGAACTACAAATATTGCATTTCGCAAAGCCATCTTTTCCCGATACTAAACAAGGAAACTTTTTAGTATATTCCTCTCTAAACTTTTGATTATTCTTCCTCTTCTTTCGTAATCCATCGTCATTAGAAACTTCCCGATCCTGATTAGATCTTTTCAAATAACGATCCATCACAATAAAATTTAATAATACATACACAACTTATAAACTAACGCGATAAAAGCTGGATGAAAAATAATCTAAAATTTCAAACAAAAACGTATCATTCTTTTAACATCGGAGCAGCAAAATTCAAAGTTGTTTTCAAAAATTTTTATTGAAGTCACTTCACTTCACACGGTGTAAAGCAAAAAACTAACGCAGTTTCTCAAAGACCAGCTGCATTCAGGCAGATTACAATGGCGGCGCCGATGAGTAACCCTTCATAATCACGTGGTTTCTCCCGACCAAGGCTAACAACGCATGACGTCATTTTCGGCGATACGCAATCAGTGACGTCACCATGCTTGAAAGACGACAACAGCGGAAGCGGATAGATCGGACAGGCGCTTTCGTTTAATCCGTAGTATTTTACTATTCACCCGTAGCTCCGTAGTTTATCTCCAATTTCCGTAGCAGTTGGAGGGTATGCTATTCATACAACATTTAACTGAATTTTGGATGTCCTCTATACCTCAAAACTACTTATTATCCATGTAAAATCATATTTCACACATACTGTTCATTCACTGGGAAATCTATTCCCAGTGAAGGAACATGTCTGTTCCTACACTGGTTAGAAGTTGATTTTTGTATTTTTAACATAATTTTGATGTATAATATGACTAAAGGTACAAGAAAATTAAAATTTCTTTTATTTTCATTAACTTGAAAAAATCCCAGTTCAGGAACACTTGTTTATTCATAGGTTTTTCATCGTTTGGCAATCCAGTTAATAAACACCCCCTAATCTCAGTACTTGCTTATGTTATGATGCTTAAAATAAATAAAACGTAACTTCAATAACCATATTTTGAATTCTCTTTTTCACAATGAGAAAAAACAACATTATTACATGCAATTAATTGTACTTTAAACGGATAACTACAAACCCTGATCTTATAATTTGGCAAAGAAACAAGGCGTTGAACAGATACTAACAAATTCAAAACTTTTTCCAGAGAAGACTCTAAGACCAGGTAACTCAGTGCATTGTTAGATGACTTCCTATTGTTAGGTAGTAAGCTACTGTTACCAATCAATCGAAATCAAAACGATTAAAATCGTATTTTTAAAAAATATCTATGAAATGTTCCTTCACTGGGGTGTGTTCCTTCACTTGTTGGTTTACCCTATATCGTCTTATTCTTAAAAGAAATTTCCGGAAGTGTTTCGCAGAACTATTTAATTAAAGTTTAACATTTTTAAAAATCTTATTCTTTACCCTTTTACGTTTATTATTTCCTCATTAATATACTAATCAATTTTTTTAGTACTTTAATTTAGGTTTCCTTTAAAGTAAAACTCCTTTCAAAATTATAGTCAAGTTTTTTTTAAAGACTTACATTGCTCCAAGGGATCTACTCAATAATTTCGCTATTTCCAGAATGAAATCTGTTTTGGTGGTAAATGTAGCTTATCGTAATTGAAGAATATGCTGTGCGACACTTAATGGTGAATTTGAGAACGTAAGTTTCAGAATGTATCGAAACATGAGAATGCTATTTTTCAATCATCTTTATCCAAAGAAAACCATGTAACCTAATTATCTAGTAGAATGAAGTGATTTTTTAAACAATTAATCATACAATATGCAACATATTATTTCAATATCTTATTCTTAAACATAACATATTTCAATGTTTTTAAAATGCCACTAAACATTCAGCAATTCCTTGAGTTATAGAAAAAAGAAATATCGTAAATTATAGAAAACTCTGTGGATGTGCATTAGAATTACTATACAATCTACATTTTATTTTTCAAGCACTTTTTTTCCCTTCAAAAATGATAATCCCTAAAATTTTGTATATAGCTATAATAAGTTATGTTAATTTGATTTTAGTATGAAATCCTCGAATAAATATAGCAAAAACAACATAATCTAAATAATATCAGATGAAAAGTTCATGCGTTTAAATACTAAAAACTCAGAATGTAATAAATAATTTATAAATCGATTCAAATTTTCTTTTCAAAGGGGATTTAAAAAAAAATGTTTTTTTGCTTTTTGGACAGAAATCAGCTTAAAAATTGTGTATTGCGTAGAAACTTAGAGATATTTTCTATTAATAAAACTTCTTAAAGCAATCACAGAACTTTATTTAAATTTTTTTACGGTCAGATTTTGGTTGCCTAGCAACCTAGTAAAATTAAGCATTCCTCTTTTGAATTAGTCAATGGGTTATCTTAAAATATTCATTTGCGCAGGCGACTTTTTTTGGCGGTTTTCTGGACNGGATCGCTCTCCTGACCAAACTATGGGGACCATATTTCCCAGATTGCGGCTACCCCCTATATTTTGAAGGTTAAGAATCCAAATATGTAAGAAAAAATATATGTTTATTCAGAGAAAGTACGTTTTTGTGTCTGATTTCGTAACTTAATTAATAGTTAGCACTAGTTAATTAGCATAATTGAGGTCACCCCCAGGAACCATTAAGATTAACACTTAGTTCGTGAAAATCTGGTCATTAGAACGAAAGTTATTCAGGGTGATATCTTTTTTTTTTTTTTGCGGACTGTACATCCTATGTTTAAGTTGAAATTGTTTTTTTCTTTTCTTCCAAAACCATTGTTTCTCGAATTCCTAATAATAGAGCACAAATGTTAAAACTTTCTTTATCAGTAGAACTTGCAAACAGACATGAATTTCGTGAACCCACAGGAAGAGGGGATGCACAGGTTGGGGTGTTTCTTTAATTTTGAAGATTTTTACAAGTGGATAACTGCTTGGCGACATGCGGAACATGGACAGACGTGGAAATCAGAGATAATATCATATTGATGAACCAAAAGTGAATGCAAAAGAGGTAGAAAAAGTTGTTGAATTCTTATAATCTATTCTTGACTCCCAGGCAAATGTTGGATATGAGGGATTTGCGCTCTTTCTAACTTAAAAAGAATAATCGAAACATTGAAACAAATAAGGTTATACGTAAAAAATCTTTGAAAAATTATTTTCAGTGCTAAACGTATGTTAAAAACATTTTACGTGAAGTGTGGTATAATTCATTTAAAGAAATGCCTATATCTTTCTACTAAAAACAACTAAAGCACTTTTAATAAAATTCCTTAATTAAATTGAATTTTGGTAACAAACCTGTATAACTCGAAACGTCTTTATCTCAAATTTGTCGCCTTTCACATGATATTCAAATAAACAGGTTTGATCATATATTAACAAAATGCAAAAAATATTTCAAAAAACATTACACGATCATGATAAAATAACTAGTCATTATTAACTACCATAAAAACAATTTATGTAGAACCTTAAAAATATTCAACATTGAGTCACACATCCTGTTTTTTAAATCTATAATTATACTTTATTTGATTATGTAAAAAAGGATAATTTTAATACAAAATTATAATTAGTTAAACTATAATTTTAAAAAAGTAACAGGGTGTAAAAAAGTAAAATAAAAAAATTACAGTTTTCTAAAATCTTGTCTCTAGAGAATTATTTAGTTTTTCTCATGAAATCACTTAAGAGAACTGAAAATTTTAAATGATAAACACAAAACAAGAAAAAGTTTGAATAATTCTATGAAATTAGTGTGGAAGACTATTCAGGTCAATTTATTATTTTCTTAAATTTATAAAAAAAGAAATTGAAATTTTATGGCGATGAAAGCTTTGTGATTGTTGACTACTCCAAACCTACATGAAAATATTTAATAAGTGAATGGGAACGTTTAATCGATCCTTATGATTAACAAAACTCTGAGGAATTTTTTGGCTTAATTTCAAAAGGGCAGAAATTGAGTATCTCTAAATATTTTATTTTTTGAGTATTAATTTCATCATATTTCAAGAACATTTTAAGCACATTGAAAATTTTTTGAACACGACTATATCTGGTTTATTCGAAGACATTCCATTCAAAATATTACTTACAGTAAATATTTATTAAGCCAAATTACTTATTAATAACAATTTATCAATCTTACTTTTAATTTATCATAGCTCCATAACTTCATAAGCGAAATTAAAAAAATTTTGCTCACAATTATTCAATTATAAAATGCATTCTCGAACAATAGAAATATATTAAAGAACTATATTATCAAATTCTAATCATTTAATGTTTAAAAATCAATAAAAAATTGGACAGTTTACTTTTGGCAAGCACAAAATAGAGTTAAACATAAAAATATCAATTACCTTCAATTGCTTAAGATCCTGCTAAGCTTTAATCCAGTAATACAAATGCACAACTACTACGTAATTTAATCTCTTGAAACTTATTTCATAGCAGCTCCTATATACACTTCATCAAATCCATGCCAGCTTTTTTAAAGCAAACACTTCTTCGTAGTTGATTTTCATTCGTACAGAAATGCTAAAAAAGAAAAACACTAAAATGCAATAAATGCAGTACATAGAATGTGATACATACTGAAATGTTTTTGTATTGTTACACAGCAAAATAATCACCAAGGAAATATCCATGCTTTTTAAAAAAATAAATAAATTTTGAATTTAAAAATTGATCTAAAACCTTGGCAATTGCACCTGGTGCGATAGATCAAGATATACACATATCCCAGCACATTTATTTGGAATACCTATAGTTTCATTTCAGAAACTAGTTTTAGATAAATACTAAAATGGATTTTACTCTGTATGATTGTATCTGAAAAATTAGAACTTTTCTACTTGTTTCGTTAATCAAATTGCATACTTGTTCTTTCGTGACACATCTTCATGCATACAACTTATGCTGGCAATGTCATAGGCTACAAGCGTTTAGCCAGCTTTTTCTCATTTGCTGTTGGTTAGCCATGCATATCACATGATGTCTTTAACTTGAACTTAAGACTGTTATATCGTATTCTTAATTTTCATTGTCTTTCTGTTACCCTGCAGGAGTGCAATGTCTTTTTTCAAGTTAATGTTATTAAACAGTTTTATTTCTCCATACAGGCTTAATTTCTGACTAAATGAAGGCTATTATTCATTTACACCAACAATCTCGCAGCTGTTTTGATTGCCAGAAAGGTTTAAACAATCAGCCAATGAAAAAAAAAAACTGGTGACCCAAATAAAATTAATCCATTATCTTCATAATTAATCCACAGCTTTGAACATCTGTGATTAATGAATTTTTCCAGCCCATTTTAAATATATATATGCATATCATAAACTTATAATTTTAAAAGTTGTAGACCAGTGGTTCCCAACCTTTTGTGAACCATCGCCCCCCCCTCTTGGGGTTGGCTGACACCTATCGCCCCTTTCTCTTTTTGCTCAAAAAAACATTCATTGTTGCTTGTGAGCAACCAAACACTGAAAATATGCTATGTTATTTGATTTTAATTGTAATGCAAATAAGGAGGCACATTTATCCTGTCATTTTTATTAATTAAAAAAAATTGTGCATCTTTTTTTCTTCAAAAAGAAATGATATTTAAAACGGAATAATAAAAACAAAAGTGAATTTTTTTAAATTCATATTTTAATGTAATCAAGAAAAAGTTAAAACGTTAACAACTAAAATTTGAGGAAAAAAAATTAAGAGGGAGAAAGTACACTTTTACTACTTCAATGACTGCCCTGTGCTTGGTGTATTTCAAGTTAAAGCTTGAATGTCAGGTTTTATGCTCGTCAGATTTAAAGGCAATTGAATCAAATGTCCAACCTATCTCTTTGCTTTGTGAGCAGCTGGGAGACAGAATTAAATCCTCTCTCCACTAAATATGTTGACGGGAACAAGATGAGAAGCGGCTCAGTTTGTTTCCACAATTGTGGATAAGTATCCATAAGCTTTACCCAAGATAACTCGTAACCATATTTTTTAAAGACGACTTTAGCCTCACAGTCATACTTCAAATCTAAAACCTTAGTCTACAAAGAGGAAGTGAGCTTATCCACAACTTTAAAAGAGAAAGGATCGAAAATCCAATCCGGAATTTCTAATTTCATCAAATCTTTAAATCTTGTAACTGATCAAGGTGATCAGTAAAATATAAGATTTTATTTTCGAGAATCTCGATATCTGCCATTGAACTCTTTTTAAGAGTTGGATGCATGTGTAAGACGGATAAGGAATAAATTTTTGCCTGATAGAAAAATTCCCTGCTTCCATACCTATCCACAAAGATTTTTTTAAAGTCTAAACTACAATAAAACAAATAATTTATCATGCTCATATATTCATTATTCAAAAAATTAACAGTGTGATATTAATTTAGCTAATGTGCATTTTTAACATATTTATACATTTGTATAAATATACTTGTGTCGAATTCAAATAAGTAAATAGCAGTAATCTTGAAGAAAGACTATGGGATGTTTCACTTAAATATATATATTGTAGCTGATATTGTTGCTTGTTATCCATCAATATATCATTGAGGTATTAATTTAACACATAACTATTTGAATCCGTAAATAACATAAGTAATGAACCATTTCATTAATAAATAAAAAAAAAAAAGAAATACAAATTGCAGTCAAGATGAAGACATAATTTTTCATTGCAAATTATTTGAAGATCGATAAATTTTGTCTAATTGGGAATAGCAAAAGATCAGACCATTGGATGCCCACTCAAATTCAGAAGGAATTTCCAGATATACCAGATAAATTTTAATGATAATCCTAACGACATTTTATCTGTACTACTCTATCTTCCAACAGAAAGCTAGGATCCTTTTTAAATTTGTAACATCAAATGCAGCATTTTTTCAAAATCAAAAGTGGAGCAATCGATGTAAGGTATACTATAATTTCACCAGAATATTTTACTACAACATATTTGTATACTTTGCATTTGGTTGCTACAGGCGATAATTATCCAAATGATAATAGGGAACAAGTACCTTCTCCTTATGAACCTATTCTATAAGAAGCATTAGGATTTTATCACATGGCCAAGCACTTTATTTCTTTTCATACCTTTTGCATTGTTTTTCATTCTTAATAGTAGTTATGCACCATGTCATTTTATGTCTACCACTTTTACAATTACCAAGAGGTGCACAAGCTTGTGCTTGTTTATTTCTAAATCTTCAGTTTTCTGATATAGTGTAACAACCTGCCACCATTTGTGCTCCATCAATTTAAATTCTGTTTATTGCTTACTGATTTCGAATAATTTTGTGGAACCATTTCACACTAAGAGTTCTTCTGTTCCATTAGACAAAAATCTAACTCAATTGTATTGTTTTAAATTGCACCAGGTTTTTGACTGGTATGAAAATACTGGTTTAGTATTAGAGTCAAATATTTTTTATTTATTTAATTAAATTCATTCGAAATAGTGAATGCTACATGCCAACTCCTGGGTCATTCCATGTCAGTTCATCCAGCCATGGCACCCACCGTCTCAGATTTTGATGAAAATTTGTACACTTATAGAGTTTTTTGTGCTGATTTCAAAAATATCAATTATATTTAAATCGGTTAATGGGTTTAAAAGTTATAAGAATTTATACTTTTGCCAAAATGGCTCATTTGCCGCCATTTTGATTCATACATCAAAGGCTATTAATGATTGTTACTCACCTTATATTTGTCATAGAGCAATAATTTTTTTTTTATTTTGTTCAGAATAAAGTAATCTGTCATATAAACACTTTTTTTTGCAAATAAGTATCTTACTTTTTTAGTAAATGGGTCTGTTTTGCATTTTTTTGATCAGCGGAGTTGAGTAACTTCAGGATATTATTTCTGGCAACTCGCCCCCTTCAATTTCAGAAATATTTTATTCAAGGATAGTTGAAAGTGCAAACTAACATCTGATACAAAAATTTTGATGGGCCGTTCACTCACTTTTTAAAAAAAATATATTTTTCTTATGAATCATTATGCATTAAAAGTACTCGTAGTTTGATGATTTATAGTCCTTAATTATAACTAGAATATAATAAAATGATATAAAAAAATGTAAATGGTAGAAAAATATGTAAAATAAAGTAATCATTTATTAAATTATTTCTTTCTTCTTTCTTTGAGCCCTCCCCCCCCCCTCAAAAAAGAAAAGAAGAAAGGAAAAAATTTAAGACTGAGCAAGACAAACACAATTTCTGGTCAGGAATTGCTGAAATTTGCAATTTAGCTCTGTATGTTTTAGCCTGATCTACACTTATGACATGAAGGGAGACTTTCTTGGTCTTATTGGAAGGAGAATTAAATAAGTCACAATTTTTTTTCATTTTCTTATATAGGGTGACCTTGGATAATTCCTGATCAAAAAATGCAAACATCTACTTTGTGAAAAAACTATTCAAGATAGAATTTCAATATTTACTGGAAGTTTGAGACTATATGAGATGAGTCCTATGCTACCTTCTTTTGTTGGAAAATCTAATTAGAATTTAAAAGATTTTAAATTCTTAGTGATCAGAAATTACTCCTTCTCTTGATCACTTCTGGGGTAATTACTGATCACCAGTTTTTATAGTAAAGGGGTTGTTTAAAAATAATTATACAATGGTAATTAACAAATAAGACATCAAGATCAAACAAATAAACCAAAGAGATATTTAAGCAGCTAATAAAACGATTTCTTTAAAAGCAAAGAATAAAGATTAACACTTTAAATTTTCCAAAAATCTTTGCATCCTGCCATACATTTTAGGCAAGCAGCCAACTCATTCTCATGTTCTGTTGGAATATAAGAAAGAGTTCCCACATAAGTTACTTTTGCTGGATTTTTTAACTTCATTAAGTGAGAGTGTAAAGTTAAGTAAGGTATGTCAACAGCTCTGACAGTAGCTCTCACACTGAAATTTCATTTTCAATCATTAAAAGAAATTCACTAATTTTGCTTTCTAGAAGCTTAGTATCTTTTTTAGTGTTATAATTTCTCACCATATTTATATTAGGCAAATTTATAAACTTAAAAATTATTCTAACAATGTACACACATAAAATTAAGATAGAAGCAAGGTAAGGCAAACCAGAAATGGGACAAATCAGAACACATTTGTCTTGTATACAGTTAATAAACAAATTTTGTGATTACAGTTAAAATATATTTTAATGGTTGTTCCACTTAATAAATATGAACTGCCATTTAAGAAAAGACAATTAGCTATTTTTAATACTATTTATAAAAAGAAATGACAATGATTAGGAATTACCCCAGTGATCAATAATTACCCCATGGGGGGCAACATTTGATATAGTTTCCTATAATTAATTATAATGCTTACAGTAGATGTGAAACAATTAAACAAAAACTTACACTATTTTTATATCAAAGAAAAAGAAAGTAACTCAAAATATTTATTATTAAGAGAAGGAGGGGATCTTTGCAGAAATGTGCACATTTTGAAACCCATCTTTAAAATGGAAAATACAGAAAGCAGTTTAAAAGATACTTATTTTGTTAGATTAAACAAAAAACTATAATTAAGTAAATGTAGTTATACTTTAGTAAAATGTACAAGCATTCTTGTCCATGTCTCCAATTTAAAAAAAAAATTTTTAAAATAAAACTTAGGTGATCATTATTTACCCCAGAAACAGAGTGATTGTGAATTATCCCTGGTCACCCTATATATTTCATACTGATAAAGGAGATACTCCTTATGTATGAGGCATATAGTTGAACTTTCCTTAAAATCTAAATTGCTCCTAAATGAAATAAGTTATATATTCTCTGAAGAAAGTTCTAAAATCTTCTATGAGTTTAAACTGCACTTAAAATCTTTCAAAGTTAATCCAATACTATATAATACTTGGGTTTTCATAATAAAACTCTTTTTTAAGTATCAAATTGATACATTTAAAACTTTTGAAAACTTATTTATTTCTGTTCTGTTCTAAATAAATGGAAGAAATACAATTTTACTGATTGGAAAGAAAATAAATTTTACATGACACTCAATTCTGATTGGAGCAAACAGAAATGTTCTGGCAGATGATACATTCTGATTAGTCAAATTTCTTTTTTGGGAAGGTAGAGATGGAATGTGTCAATAGTTTTCAGTATTTTTTTTTTCTATTCAGAAGTTTTTTTTTTAAAAATTGGATGTATATAATTATAATAAAAGTTTTTGAGAATAAAAAGGGCCTGCAGGTATTAGTGATGAAATAAGAGCATGCAAATTATCTTATAGTTAGTGATATAAAATCATTTCATTTCAATATAATTATAATAAATAGTTTAACTTTATCAGTGTTTCAAATGAAATTTTGTAGGGGTATCTCATTACCATAACAATCATTGTGACAAATAAAAGGATAAAATTAACTTCAAATATTCATAATTTGGTCTTACATTTAATTACATTTTAGAATCAGACAAAATGTTTGAATTAAATTAAAGTGTACAATGATTTTCTCCTTCCATAAAGATCAAAGTTAGTTCAATTAAAAAAAAAATTTAATGGCTGCTTTTTATTATTTGGCACTGCCCTCTACTCTTTCAGAGAAACTTTTATTTATATTTTTTTTAGATTCTGATCCCTCTCATTTACCAAAACTATATGATTCTGGATAAATTTATTTGCAAAAAAGGTGAAATTTTGTTCATTCTAAAATTTTGTCTTTCTTTTCTTTTTTGAGGGCTCAAAGAAACAAAAAAAAAAAATTTAATAAATGATTACTTTATTTTACATATTTTTCTACCATTCACATTTTTTTATATCATTTTATTATACTCTAGTTATAATTAAGGACTATAAATCATCAAACTACGAGTACTTTTAGCGCATAATGATTCATAAGAAAAAATTTTTTTTTTTAAAAAGTGAGTGAACGGCCCATCAAAATTTTTATATCAGATGTTAGTTTGCACTTTCAACTATCTTTGAATAAAATATTTTTGAAATTGAAGGGGGCGAGTTGCCAGAAATAATCTCCTGAAGTTACTCAACTCCGCTGATCAAAAAACTGCAAAACAGACCCATTTACTAACTAAGTAAGATACTTATTTGCAAAAAAAAGTGTTTATATGACAGATTACTTTATTCTGAACAAAATAAAAAAAAAATTATTGCTCTATCACAAATATAAGGTGAGTTACAATCATTAATAGCCTTTGATGTATGAATCAAAATGGCGGCAAATGTGCCATTTTGGCAAAAATACAAATGCTTATAACTTTTAAACCCCTTAACCGATTTAAATATAATTGATATTTTTGAAATCAGCACAAAAAATTCTATAAGTGTACAAATTTTCATCAAAATCCGAGACGGTGGGTGCCATTTTTGTAAAATCCTGTATGATTTGACATGGAATGACCCTCCTCTGTTATTTATAATTGATCCAAGGATGATGTTTTCAACTGGGTATGGTACTTTGAGATAATCTTCATAACCATTTTTTTATATCGTTCACTAATCATTCAGCCAGTACCGTGCGTGACAAAGCGAACGGCCGCAGGTAAACAAATTCGACGAAGGCACGGATGTTCCTCACAGCATTTTGGCTTCTGTTGTGGGAACACGGTCCACCCTTTGATGTCTGCGGGTAATGTTGCTCATCAGACAAGGCAAAATAGGTAACACCTTGAGCATCATCCATGGCAAAAAAGATAAGCTGAGTACCTGCCGATAATCTATAATCCACGTCTTTTATGCAGTATAATGGGTAAACAGATTTGTTTACACATGTTATAGGTAACTAGTTCAAAGGTAGAGGAAGTCCACAAAATCTAAGTCATTGAAACATTCCTTTAATGATGTTAGCTACTTATCTTTATAATCCATTAAATGCGCATTTAGCAAGAGAACAAGCATAAAATATATTTTTTTCTATAATTTTCACTTTATTTCTGTAAAAGAAATAAAATGATTGAATTGGAGAAAGGTAAAAGTATCAACATATTTATTACATCACTTCAATAACTGCTCAGAGAGTACCCCATAGATAAGGCGAACATTTACGTCGATGATAACTCGGAAAAGCAGTTGTCAACACATAGTCCCTATAATGAATAAAGTTTGTTTATGAAAGGTAGAGGTAAATGAAAAATGTGATGGTAAAACTGTTTACTGCTTACCTGTCTTCAGGAGATAAACTTTTCCCTAGACTTTTACTAAATTAAAAAACATAAGTGTTAGATATGCAGTCATCAAATTCCACTACTCTCTAAAAAAAAAAAGGTTCTTACCTTCAAAGACGAACAAGAAGTAACAGATAACTTTCTTGTATAAGTAGTAATTTAATAGTTTTTTTCAAATAAACTGTTAAAAATTTTCTGAGACAAAAGCATCCAGCGCAAATGTTAACTATGTTTAAAATGGCTAACGACGCCCTTCTGATCTGGTTTAGAAGTTTCTAGAACATCACGCGATATGACAAGTATTGAATACGTCAACAATACCCGTACATTTGCTTACATCATCGTCTAGAAAATTGTGTTGCCACAATTTTTTTTTCACACAAATAAATAGTTTTTTTTTGTGTGTGTAAGATGTTTTGATAAATATAACTTTGGAAGCATAAAATATTATTCAGGAAATTTAATGTTTTTATAGCTATTATATTTTTGAAACTACACTTTCATTTTATAAGTTCACTTTGCAAAAATGATATCAGTGTAATGGCAACGTGTTGTTGATAAGTAAACTAAACATGTCGGACGCCGAGGATGATTTCATGTGCGATGATGAAGAGGATTATGATTTGGTAATTTCGCATGACTGCTAATGATTGCTAATCCCCACAAAATAAGAAAATAATTTTGCATATTTTAAAAAAAGTATTTGTTAAAAATGATAATATATGTTAGTCAGTTGTTTTCATTAAGTTTAATTGCTCCGGTTGTCCATTTCGTTTTATATTATTTTGTCTGATATTTCTATTTAATTCTTAATCGCCTCTAGTGTAAAACCGGTATTATTTAAAATACTCACTGAAATGAGGTAATGCTATGATATTTTGTTTTTATTTCTGTAGATATGTTCCGTATAACAAAGATGCGAAACTAAGTGACAGTAAATCTGTTTGTAAATTTACTACTCCGATTTGTTTATCAATTCACTGCTCTAGAAAGCATACTCCAGCGAGACTATGCTTTTCAAAGGAAATTATTGACGCAATGTATTATTTCTAAAATCCCATTTTTATGTTTAAATTTACTGTTATAGAAATGATTGCGTTCTTAAACCTTGTACTAAATTGACATAATTTTATAAAATTAGTTAAAAATTTTGTCGTTGACGTAAGTTATCACTATACATTTATTGGTATGTTATTTATTTATTCAATATTAAAACTGCCATATCTAGTCATTATATTTTCTCTTTTGTCTGAACGTTTTTTTTCCCCTCAACTTTGTATCTTTAAATAATACTCAATCATATTGATTTGCAGCGTCTAGAATGACAATGTGCTTATACATTCTTGTATGTTACATTTTGAAAACACTGACGTTGTAAACTTGCAATGTAATCAGTGATTTTTATAAAAAAAAAAAAAAAATAAGACAAGAACGTAAAGGGGTGTGGTGAACTTATGTTTTTAGGAGGGAGTAATTAGCATTTTCCTGAATGAAATTCCTACTTTGATCAAAACATGCGTCAATAAAAGTATGTAATTCATTTGCTTCATTTAAAAGTTATTTTGTTGCTAAAGTTATTTGCACTATATGCAATGTTTCACCATTGATAAAAAGGTTTTATTCTTTAAATTTTTATTTATTAAATCGTTCTTGTAAATGAGTCTAGATTAATCAGTTAGAAAGGTAATAAACTGTTGTGAAGAAGCGGGATTCAATACACATTGATGGCATGAAGCCTTTCAGATCTACAGATACCAGCATGTCTAGGAAGTAAAGGCGGTTTGTGCACCCTGTGGCAGAATTTTTTCAGGCTTTCTGCGACAAGCCTCTTAAGCACTAATATCTTTTTAATAGATACTTTTAATAATAACAAATGTTACTAATTCAAAGTAGCAGAAGCATTGTGTTTGCAAAAATAACAATTTAGATAAAATAAAATTTTATATAAATTTTTAATTGAATATGTAATATTTTTTTATTCTATTATTATGGGTGATATTCTCATATTTTTTTTTGTCCATTCATTTTTATTTACTGTAATCATAAAATCTGTAATAGTTTGCCAAAAAAAAAAAAGAGTGAATGCAAAATCATGGGAATTGGACTCTTCAAAAAAAGATTACTAAATGTGTTGTAATAAATAGTATTGTATTAAAATATTGGTTCTTTCAAACTATCATAAGCAATAATTGCCAAAGAAAATCATAGAATCATTGTGTTAAAAATTAAATATTCGAATGTGTTATGTGAACTTCTCTGATTGTCAGAAATATATCTTGATATTTAAAAACATTTAGAGAGATTGTTTCAAATTTTATGTGTAGAAAAAATATCAGCCGAGAAATGATTGGAATTTAAAAAACCTCTTGGAATTAGGTAGCTATAGAAAGTGAAAGAAAAAAATGCTGAAAAATCTATGAATTTGCCGATTAAAAGGGAAAAAAAGATTTAAGTTTCACATAAAATAAAGTTGTATTTATAAAAACACCAGATTTGTATTTACCTATTCTTTAATTGTTCAATTTCTTATACTCTATACTGTTGAAAGAACGATAGGAACACTAAATGGAATAACGAGAAAATCGGCGCAAACTGAGCGTCTCAATGAGTGAATACTGTTATTGTAATAATATGGGTATTTTTTGAAAAATCACAAGAGTATCTTTAAAACCTGGGCAATGACAGTCATTGAGTTTTTGGTAAAAGAAAAGTAAAAATTTGAAGCAATAATCGCCGAAAAAAATGATCAAAAACTAGATAGTATGTTTGGATGCAATCTGCTCGAGTTGTGAGCGATAGAGTGAAGATTCAAGCACGTGAAATAAAACTTTCATGTTCATAATCAGGGTGGCCACCCACCTGGAATTATCGAGGAATTTTTTTATAATGGAAAAAAACCTGGAAAAGTCGGGGAAATTTTAGATGAAAACCTGGAAAAATCAGGGAATTTTAAAGAGAAGCTGGAATTTTTTTATAGATTTTCTTAATTTAAATTATTTTATGATCTGTTATACCAACTTTTTTTAGATGGACATTTATTGCCAAACAGTTGAAATATCAACTTAGCAATATTTTGTATTTGTCAAAATTTACTCCATTATACCCTGTTAAACTAGAATGCCACATAAAACCCATGATTGCTAAATGAATGGAGAAACCATATTGGAGTCTATGCATTTTAGATGAGATGAGACTATGCAGTTTAGGAGAGGCAAAGATTGTGGTGTGCTTCGGTTTATAAAAGTAGCATTTGTTTCACTTCTAATCTGTTGGTTGAATCCGTCTATCGTTCAAGTTTGTTCCGATGCTTTAAGTTTTTTGCTTTCTTTTGACTAAATGATTAAAAATGTTTCAGTATTTTTAATTTCATAAAATTCTCCACAAATTAGTTAGTCATAATTTAATAAATTATATGTTACTCTTTTTCGAAAAGCTTTTGTAGTATTTTTCTCAGCAATGCCAATCAATCACATATTTTCTTACAATTGCTAACTGCAAAGTTTGTCAACAAATTGTTAAAATTTTTTCATTGATGCTAATTTTCTCAATTTCATTGTAGCCTTTTATAACATATTTTAATTAAAATAGGTTATTTTAAGGGCCAACTATATGTTAACGTTTTGTTGGTAAATATTTGATTTTTGTTTCAAAATTCAAAATTTTGATTTAAAATTTGATTCACAATGTCGAATTCAAAATTTGACATTGTGTAGTAATAGCAATGTGGAAAGTTCATCAATGTTACTCTTTTTCCAGAGATGATATTTCCAAAACTGTTCCTCTGTTACTGTAAGAAGCTGGTAAAAATTAGGGAATGCATGAGAAACATGTTAAATGTTGTATAAACATAGGATATTAAATTTTTTATTCATCTGTGTTTATTAGGAAGAAGGAGAATGAAGCTGTTTTTTTTTTTTAATTTTTATTCTACACTGTGCAGGTTTCTAGTCGTAAAAACAATTAACTAATCTAAACTAAAATATCATTTAGTTAGATAGGAATTCTTTAAATATTTAAAAAGAAGAAAAAAATGTAAGGAATTTATCTATTTTTTTTCTGTAGGATATGTAATAAGAAATTTGACAATTTTGCATTTGTGACATTAATTTTTTAATACTGCATATCACTTAAAATCATAATGCTGTGTGAATACAATATTATTTAAACATTTGACTTTAGATATTGGTTTAGAGAAAATATGATCAATGAATTTTACAAGAATCACTGTTTGGATAGCATACAGTATAAAATGTGCTCTATGTAAAATGTAAATAAATATAAAAAGTTATTGCTGCATAATCGCCTGAAATTATTGTTTTTTATTAATGAATTTTAATGGTAACTAGTATAATACCAAATAGAAAGATAGTCTGACATCATGTTAGCTTTGGAGTGGAAAAGTTTGAAGCTTTCCTTAGACACACGTTTTGAGCTGTGTTAATTTTCAAAAAAATGCTTGTTGAGAGTTGTCAATTATTATAAGCATGGATTTCAAGCTGTATCCAGATATAGAAATTCATTGCCGCAAAATAGTTTTTGCTACACTGAATGACTGTACAAAAAAAGAAAAAAAAAAATCTTAAACTTTGGCGTAAAATAACTCTAAAAATAGTAACCGCATTAATAACATTTTATACCTGAATGTCCTTTAATCGTTTCTCTAGAAAGTGAAATGTATCACATTGTTTTATCTAGTAATTTTTGAATTATGTTATGATAGTGAAAAGCAAGATTGATAATAATTTTCTAAAACAGCCGTTAGCGAATTTTTTTCTTAATATACAGAGATAATTGAACGTACATTCCACTTAGTATTTTTTAGGAATTTTTGTAATCATAGAAAATTTTAATGTGTTAAAAAATTAAGATAAGTTTCTTCAGTATGTAATAAAATTAAATTATTTTTAACTTCATGCAACATTTGCATATAAAACTAATCAAATTGTATTTACCTATTCATGGTTGTAGCTTTTGAATTTTTCATTTTCATAAAGGAGGTGCTAGGGAGCTTCGAAGATGAGCTAATTGGCATCTCTCATTTTCTGATGAAACTGACCAATTTTTATTGGGAAATAGGAGCTCCATGCGAATGATTGACAAATGGGCATTTCAGTGGCAAGGAGGGAATTAGATTTGATATAAGAATTGAAATGAATACCTAAAACTATACTTATGCTTTCTTTATTTTCCCAGCAAAAAAGTCAAATGAAGCTCTAATACATAATAATTTCATTTACGTTTTCAAAAAAAAAAGAGAAAATGAATTTTCGTAAACATGCCGAATGGCCAATCAAAACTTGTCGAATAGTAAAAAATCTTTAAGAGGTCACAGTGACCTCCTATCCTGACTATACATGTAAAATACCCTGATTTTTATAACTTTGTGTAAATACCGGGTATTAATGAAATTTATTAAAAATCCAATAACCGCGTTTGTTTTTCTTTTGGAATTTTACTAAATTATGTATATTTAAGGTACAATTAAGTTTTGCTTACATTGTCAATTTATTAATTAGTTATTTACTAAGAACAAAAATATCTTCGATTGAAAGTGTAAATTATTGTACTTTAGTTTTCATTTGAGAGTGGCCATGGTTTAATCACCCTAAAGTTCACATTTCAATTCATAATTCCCAATACTTGTGGTTTCAAAACTAACTTCTAAATTAGGAAAGTTTCGCCAGATTTTTAAAGTGCAATTTTTTTGAGATTTTAAGTAATTATTTTAGAAAATTTATCATACAAAACTTTTACTACACTTGAATAGTATGCAATCATTCTCGGATTCATATTAAGTTGTGTTGTGATGATATCTGAACGATAATGCTTAATGTGCTAAGTTGAATTGTCGGGAAATGTTTGAGTTTTAATATAATTATTAGTAATTGGTTAAAAAAAATTTAGAGCTTAATATTAATAAGATTAAGTGGTATAAAATATATGCTAATGCTAGTGAAGAGAATATAAAAGGTTAAATTCTCTTGGAACAGTTTTATCAAAATATTAGTATAACTTTAACAGGCAAATAAACATTATCAACAAACTTAAACTTTATTTGGTTGTTATGCAACTAAGCTAGCTAGCAAAAGGTAAGTGTCAGTTCTTCACCAGACAGACGATATTTATCACAGGGTTGCCTTTGCCTCAAAACCTTTACTCGCCAAACTACCAAGTGTTAAAATACTGATGAGAAACTGGGGAGAGCATCACATTAGCTTGCTTGTTTGTATATTTTTTCGTGTTAAGTTTAAGAGGTTGTTACACTTCTTCCCTTATATTGAAAAATTTGCTCTGAAGGAAGAGGAACTATGTTTTTAAGTTTATCTTCCTTACTTATTTGTATAAATATACATTAAGTTATCTTTAAAAAATTATAAAATCTTTTCATATTACTCATTGCAAAAAATAATGCATAAACTCATTGCAAAAAATGTAAAGAAATGTTTAATTAAAACTTAATGTTGTAAGTTTAATTGAAAACTTGGAACGATATGAATAATATTTTACATAGAACTGAAAACAAAATATAAAATCTTAATAAATTTAATTCACTCATATTTGATAATTTTTGAACAATTACTACCTCTTGTTTAATTGTCTAAATTGTTTTGTATTCTAAAGGTTAAGTTGTGTTTTTCTCATAGATTTAGCTAAATAATTCATTGTATAAAAATTGAATTGCATAATTCAGTATTTTTTATGAATGATGATGATTTTTTTATGAAAATGAAATTTTATAATTGCACTAAAACATCAGTGACTTTAAAAAAATACTTTTTATCGTTTCTAATAAGCAGAAAAAGACTATCTAAGCAAAATATCAAATGATTTCAAACCTAAATTAAAATAACTCATTTATATTAAATAAAAGGGTTATATAACAGGGTTCCCACAGTCCTTAAAAGTCCTTAAAAACTGCTAAATTTTTATTTTGGAAAATAAGGGCCCTTAAAAGTACTTAATTTTGGTGCAAAGTTTTTAAAAGTCCTTAATTTTTCAGCATCACTATAGTTGATAGGAAAAATTTTTCAGTTCAATTTTTTAAAACAAAATGCTGTTCTTTTATCATAGAGTAGAGCATTTTAGAGAGACAAAAAGGAATGTGTGTGAAGGGGGCTACTGGCAAGAGGAAGATAGGTACCATGCCCTTTCATTATTATACTGGTTCTTTCATTAATATATTCTGCCTTTTGCCTTGAATGATACTCTATGAGGAGAGTGAAGCATTCTAAAAGGAAATAATAGTGTGGACAAGGGGGATACTGCACATGGCAGGAATGGGGCTTTGGGGGAGCAGTTTTAAGGTTCCTAGGTAGAAGACCCACACTAACCTTCAAAATTGACAGAATTTAAGAAATTCAGTTCTACTGGTAACGCATCTGCTTATAGGAATTAAGTAAAACCCTAAGAAAAGAAGTATCAGAAAAATTTTTTGAACCTGAATCCATAATGAAAACTATTTCCTAAAATCTTGAAGAATTAAATACATTTGTTAAATATTTCAATGTGTAATAAGTAAGTGTAAATTTTAGGAAAGCAGTAAAATTTTTTTAAATTCATGATTGTACTAAATATTAAACTGATCTGTAATAAACATAGCTTGAAAAATCCCAGGCCACCTAGGTTTTTATGAAAAATACCTTAATTTTTTTTTCCTGAGTACTAAATAAGAATCCATGATTTGCTTCTAACAAGAAAGTTAGATATTTGGTAACTATATTTATAATTTGTTTTGTTGCATTCTAAATTTTTTTTAAAGTTTTAGATTGTTACTGTATTATTTTTGTTTCTTAAGGATACAAAATTGTTACATAAAAATTTAAATCAACTCAACTGAAAGATCCTTAGATTTTAATGATCATTTTATTCATTTAACATTGCAACTTAATATACTAATTTTATTTTTTAAATTTTTTTTTATTGTTCAAGTTTTGGTTGTTTTAAAATAATTGTTTTTCGTCAGATTGTTTAATAACATTATGAAAAGTTAATTCCTAATAACAGGTTTGGCTGGAAATAATTTTGTGTAAAGTTCACCATGAAAATAAATATCACACATTTGCTGTTTAGTTATAATTTCAAAATTGTTAAGTTACATACCGATTTCAATATGTTTTTCATGAAATTTTCCAATATTGTTTTACAAAATGTTAACTGATAAGGTGATATTACAAGATTATTTTATAATAAAAAATGCCAGTTTCGGTTAGGTTGCGATAAAAATAAAATATCAAATAATAATAACACTAGAGAATAATATTAAGAATGATAGAGGATGGTAAAGAAATATTACTAGTAAATATCTATAAATGATTAAACAATAAATAACTTATCAGTATTTGTTAATTAAGGAACGTTTTCAATTTTCTTGCCTTAAGAATGTGTTGATACATTTGAAAAATCGTTTTAGACCCTTTTGTTTACATTGTTTCACCGAGAACTAATAAACATATTGGTTTGAAAATTATAAATCTTCTCAAGCCTTTTTATTTCATAGAAATATTTGTTGCAATAAATTTTTAAAAAATAAGTAAGTCTAATGAAAAAAGAAAAAGTGGAAAGATTTATGGTGATTAGATATTAATATGGGCTGTTTTTACTTGAAATAGGACTTAATTTAACATGACACAGTTAAGAAAACTATTCTCATGCACAACTAATTCAACTTTTAAGTATTAATTTTTTTAATATATAGCCTTATAAATGAAACATTTTATTAATAGAAGAGAAGGATTTTTTTTGCCTTGACTGTGTATTTAGCGAGATTATTCCACGACTAAATGTGTGATGCAGGTCGAGTAGTAAAATATAATAACTTGTAATAATTTTTTTAATGTTTTTGTCCTATTTCTTTATTTACTCTTTTTTAAATATACATGAAAAAATAGTGAATTTTAATTTCTGGACTTAATTTATTAAATATTCATAAAAACAAAATATTATGCATAAAAGTGAAACAGAAAGAATAAAGATCTTAATTCTTGAAAGAAAATTTTAAACATCTTAGTTTTCTAATTATCTTATTTAAAAAGAAATTAGGAGTAAAGTCTAATAGCAACTCTCTTAATTGCTGTGTCATATTTAAAATATATTGATTAAAACAGAAGTTTTCAAAAAAGAAAAGGCTAAATAGAAACCAAAATGAAAATCATTCCTAATGTTAAACAATAAATTCTCCTTGATTTAACTTTTTCGCATTGCCGTACTTTTAGGAAAGAAAAATGCTTATTAGAAACTCTCTTTAAAAAATGCTATATCATAATAGAAACTCTGATAAAAAGAAGAGAGTTAATAAAAAAGAAGAAAGAAATGGAGAAAAAATTGTTTTTAGTTCTTAAAGCATAGCTTTAATGTTGAAAATCACAGTTTTCTATGTTACCTGATATCTATATTACTGTGCAGGAAAAAGGGGCAATCCATTTGTCTTCCAGAGCATAAATTTGCAAGTTTTAGAGCTACGTGTAAAAATGAACAGATACATGTAAAAATTTTCTAATCTATAGTAAAACATAAGATTTTAGGGGGGGGGAAACTTTATCGAAAGATACTTTGCCGAATATTTGGCTAAAGTCTCAAATAATGAATAATGGCTGAATATTCATTGCATCCCTACTGCTAGTTATTAAACATCCATATGAACTCCCGTAACAAAGTTCAAAACTCTTCAAAGTGGACTCACTTAATAAAGTTAAGAAAATTCTATCACTATTAAAGCAAGTGAGAACTGTTTCCTATATCCTTGCAGAACAAAACAGTTATTTTCCTTAGAATTATGCTCCACTTGTTCTAATTTCTGAGCTATTTCGAAGCACAAAAATGTTTCCTAGGAGGCGCTTATGACAGTTACTGCGGTCATATTACAAAGGGAGAAATGTGTAAGATTAATGTATTGAAATACCTTGTCTTATAATTGTGTATATTTGTAATTCTTATCTGTTGGGTAAATTTACTCTTTAAATTTATTTTTCTTTATTTGTTCTTCTATTAAACTGATAAATTCCATTAAAAATTTTATAGGAGTATTCTGAGGATAGTAACTCAGAACCTGATGTTGACTTAGAAAATCAATATTACAATTCTAAGTCCCTGAAAGAAGATGATCCAAAGGCTGCTCTTAATAGTTTCCAGAAAGTAAGTCTCTAATGCTATTGGTAACTTTGCTCTGAAAAGATATTAAATACAGTAAAAAAAAGTTAGAATTTCATTAAATATTGAGAAATATATTCGAAAATCAAAGCAACTATAAGTCAATATTTTCAGTTATGGTTTTGCCCATCTTGACGGGAAAAGAAACCTAGATAGCAGGAACTTTATTAGCGACTATTATTTAATTCTGTTGCTTGTGAATTTAAGAACATTAACGTAATAAAAAAATTTCTATGCATATCCATTTAGTTACTATTAGAAAATATTTTTTCAAATTTATGCTTACATTAAATCATATTAAAAAAAATTATATTCATATCCATTTAGTTACTATTGGAAAATATTCTTACAAATTTATGCTTACATAGTTTTATTTCATGAGCATTTTGAAGCAGATGTGTTGTGACCATTAAGTTTGCAATTGTCCTTGATAAATTGTTTTTACAATGAAAGTTGTTATATCTGTTATTTATTATATTTTTATTTGAATGTATTTTCATGGCAAATAAGTTGTTTTCACGTCTTATTGAATGTATTTTGTAGTGAAATAATGTCTGATGCTCATAAAATTAATTATCTTTAAATGATTTTTTGTTGACAAAACTATATATAGATAAGATCATATGATTTAAAAAATCGAAAGAAGTATCTGTCTAAATATAAGGAAGTAAGGGGAAGAAGTGTCAAATATATTTTTTATGATCCTATGTTCTTGAATCGTCGTTTATTTTTTACCATATAGCTATAAAAAATGTCTACAAATGTTACATAAAATTTTGCATAGATTTTTCAAAACTTTAAAGGTTAATTTGATAAAATTAAAATATCTCTTTGCTAGAAAAGAACTAGGTGCTCAGTAATTTTTCAAGAAATCATAAAAATTTTCTCATTTCCTCATCATTTAAAAATTTGAAATGTCTTATATTCATTTTGATTTTCAAGGAAAGAAAAAATGCTTTGGATTCATATCAGTTATCATAAAATTTTTAATGAAAATTAAAATTCTACTTGAATAATTCAGAAGTTTTTGATACGAAACTTCTCCATATTATATAAGTTCCTAATTCTCAAATTGTTTGATAGATAAATAAAAATAGAAAAAAGGAAATTTTGCAGCCTGTTGAAGAATATCTAAATTAAATTATTTGATTTAGTTATAAAATTTGAAAATTATTCAGAAAATGTTTTTTTCAGTTCAAACCATGATTTTTTTAAGCAAATTATATTGGGTGTCTCATGAAAAATTGTAAGTACAAAAGTACTAAATTTGTTCTGGTATGCATGCATTGCTATACATACTTTGCTGCTCAAAGATGGTATTGTATTGGAGTTCTAGAACTTTGAATTTATATTTTCAGAGTTGTTTGCCTATGTCATCCACTAATTTTTTTTTTTAAAGCTATAAAATTTTTATAAGACTTAGTTTAAATATTACAAGTTATTGTTGATTAAAATTGGATTTTTTTCCTTTGTAGGTATTAGATTTAGAAGGTGGTGAGAAAGGTGAATGGGGATTTAAGGCTTTGAAACAAATGATAAAAATAAACTTCAAAATGGTTTGTAATGACTTTTAATTTTTCTCAATTAAGTTTTTTTAATAAAATTTTTTAAAAATTTATTTAAAGTTACTGATTTTTAATGTGAAAATTCATTTCATTCATTAATTTAATATTGTTTCTTATAAACATTAATTTGATATTGTTTTTTTTTTTTTCTTGACAATTTGACTTGTTTATAGCAAAATTGAATTAGGCGGAACTGAAAATCGTCCAAAACTGAATTTGAGAGAAAGGGAGAGTTCAGACACTTAACAATTGGCTTTTTTAAAATTTTTTATTGATTTGTCAATTATAAATTGCAGTCTTATTACTGGACATTTTAATTTGCTCTGCTGTATTATTATTTTTTTTTACTGAATAGGAATTAGTGTCTGAAAGTAGCAATACCACGGTTCCCAAAAGGCCCTTTTGCAAGTCTTAAATGTGTACATTTCTTGGGTATGTAAGTTTTACGAACTTAAAAGAATCCTCACGATAAATCTGTCTATTAATGCCCTAAGAAGAAAAAACACTATTCCTGCTCTTTATTGAGCTCATGCACCTGAAGCCATTAATAATAGATGCCTAAAAGATTTTTGGCTCTATATCTATACTGATGGCTACTTCCAAGAAAATTCTTGAGCTGGAGCAGGCTTCTATGGAGAAAACTTGTTCAAAGGCTCACACAAAGTTAATAAAAATGCCACAAACGCTGAAGCTGAAATGTAGCGATCAAGCAGTTAGTTGTTCAATTGTCCTTCTGCAATACATCTCTAAACCATACGGTGTTCCTTGTTGATTCAAAACCAGCTATCTTTTCACTTTTCAAAGCCAGTTTAAGTGTGTAGGGGAAACAAAACAAAAAATCAATGAAGAACTTATCTGCGATAGTCGGGTGATTTCCTTCCATCATACTCTCAACCATTTTAAAGTGAAAGGGTGGACCTGATGGCCAAACTAGAATGTTTGCTTCCACAACCTCCTTTTGCCATTTCTTGTCTAAACCATACAGTGTTCCTTATTGATTTATCGTAGTCCCAACCGTTTTAAACTGAAGGGGTGGATTTGATGGCCAAACAAAAGAATGTTTGCTTCCACTACCTTTTGCCATTTTTTGTAACCGTATTACGCTGTAAGAAATGTGTGGTTCAGCCTTGTTTTTGATCCAATCTTGATGAACTTTTCTTGTCCGATTTTCTGTGCAAAGTTGAGAATTGTTAATTGACTTGACTATCTCCAGGATCAGCTTAAATTCCTAAGCATGGCCGACTCCTCGATATAGGAAAAAAGTTTTAAGAACTTCACATTAATTGAATTCATTTCATTTATCTACAGTAGATCTTTCAGTTTTTGTAAAGTTTCTGACTTGTTTTGGTTTTGAAAACCATCCAAAAATTGATTTGGGTTTAATGCAAATTACTAATTTAAGAATCTTGTTGTAAAATTTTTATCTTGTTTCTAAGATCCTGTATCTAAATCAATTTCGTTAAACTGATATCTTAATATTTTCCTAAGGAAGTCTTACTAAATCATTCATTGTGATACTAGAATACGAAGGCTTATAACTATAAATGATCCTAAGCAAATTTAAATAAAATGAAAAATTTTCTGCAAACATGAAATCTAACAATTTATTGACTTTTTTAAATTTAAATTTAATTTCAACCCTTTTATCGCTACCAGATTTCGACAAATAATTTTGAAAATCACTGAGTTTTATTGTATAAGATTTTAATTTTTATTGTTAAGAGGTCAAGTTATATAACAGGTTGACTTATACACTGGGATATATAGTAATTATAACTTTGTTTTATTTTAAATTGTAATTCAAGGTTTGCTTGAGTTTCAAGGCTATTAAAAGCCTTTGCCGAGAGAAATCAGGTATAAAATTAATTGGAGACATACATGATATCTGAATTAGGTAAATGTGCTTTGTAAGTTTAGTAATATGTTTGGCTGTTTATACATGAGTGTATATTATAAATTCAGAGTCAGCGGAACTAAAATCACCTTCCCCTCTTTAATAAACTTCAAACTTGTTTTTGAAAATGCTATTGCCACAATATTTTAAATGTTCATTTTTCTCATTGATGATTGTGATGTAACTCTCACAGATAGTTTCTGTAATATAGCATAAGATTTCCATTTTGTTTGTGTGTGTATGTAACTATTGTATAGCTAATTTTCTCTTTTTTTTTAAAATTTATTTAGGGTAAATTTGGAGAGATGATGAATAGATACAAACAACTTTTAACTTATATCAAAAGTGCTGTGACGAGAAATTACTCTGAAAAATCAATTAATTCCATATTAGATTATATTTCAACCTCCAAACAGGTACTTAAATTATTCTTAAATTTATTAATAAATGTTGATTTTTCATGTCATCTCTATATTTGAGACATGTTTATATATTTTTCTAGATGAAATGTTTATATATTTTTGAAGTAAAATAACTTAGAGTAGTTGTGAAAACAAAAAATAAGTGCTGTTATATGGGGAAAAGAAGTGTTTGTTATGAAAGTAATTTTGAATTAATACTAAATTAGAATATTTGTTTGAAAAACTAAGTATATTAATGTTGAAATATTGCTACCTTCAATAAAATAGTAAATAATATAGAAGTGTGTGTAAATCAATGTGTATATGTGTGTTTTTTTTGCACCCTTTGTTAGTTTTCCATTGAATAAATTGCAATGAAATTTCCAAAAATGACAACGTCAGTAATTTATTAAGTGAGATGAAGACACTACCTTTTTTTTTTCCTCGAAAAAAATTATGCATATTCAAAAGTATATTGCTAAAAGTTGTGCTTATTGAATGGCAATTTTTCTCCTTAAAAAGTAACTGGCAATAAAATAACTTAGGCTCATTAGCTCATTTTTGCTTATTATAAACTTTGTAACTTTTGGCAGTTGTACCACAATGAATGCCACGTAGAATGAACTGTAAAAGGTGTTTTTATGGATTTTAGTAATAAATATTTATTACACTGTCTCAACATATTTAATTTACAATCATTATTTTGATTAGATATGCGGTATATTTTTTTAATTTGGAGAAGTATTTTAAATTATTTTTTTTGATTTACAGAACTTGAAATTGAATATTAAACATTGTTTGAAAATTTATAAAAGTTTTCTAGCTTATTAATATTATCTCAACAATAAATAATTTGGCTACATTTTGATTTTATCCTTGACACTCAAATCTTGCTTAAGCACATTACTTATAAATTGATCTCAAAATGAATGTAAAAACGTATCTTCAACCTGAATTTGTAACTTGAATTCTAAAAATTCGGCAAATGTATCTTTCATACATTATCTTAAAGCTTGAGATAGTTGTTATAGAGTGAATTTATTTCTTGCTTTGTCAAATAGTTTTGGATGATTGATGAATTTACCATCTTTAGTGTTTAATTGTAACATATGTATACAATGTTACATACTTAGATGTTTTATTGCAGATGGAGCTACTGCAAGAATTTTATGAAACAACACTTGAAGCTTTGAAAGATGCCAAAAATGATAGGCTTTGGTTTAAAACAAATACTAAACTTGGTAAACTGTATTTTGATCGAGGTGAATACAATAAATTAGCTAAAATATTAAAACAGCTTCATCAGTCTTGCCAGGTATGTAATGATTTATATGTAATTTTTTCCTTTATACATGCTCTGTAGCCATTAATGCAGTTTTCAATTTCTTTTAACTGAATTTGTATGTTTACACATAATGAAATGAGAAAAGTCCTTGTGATTGTTTTGTGTCCCCTTGTGGCAATTTTCATCTATAAAATTTTCCTTAATGGCAGCTGTATTTATATGTTTAATTTTTAAGTTTTTTAGAAGATTTGATCGTGTTTTTTTTTTTTTCCCCAAAATTTTTTTTTAGCAATAGATTTAGGTAAATATTGACTTTAAGAAGAAAATTTATTTTTTATTTTTGAGAGGTTGTATTATTTATTGGCCCATTTTAGCTCTAATTTTCATTAAACTCATTAGAATTTTATGAAGAATTTATAATGCATGTGTCTTAGGACAAAGGAAGAGCCTAGTGACATTTACCACTGTTAGTGTACACAACTTAAAGATTGTGATATCCAATTTAAACTTTTTAAACTTTGGTTTTTAATTAATTAAAAAAATACTAGTTAACTATCTTTACTAGAATTTCAACTATAAATATGAAAATAGATCAATAAAAATTAATGATCTGTTATGTAATTAGGGTTGCAAATTTGTTACGGGCTAAAAGAGTTGAATTTGATGGAAGATTCATCACAAATTTTCGTAATTTTAAGAAAACCTAACCCAGAAAAATATACCTAGAATTACATATTGAAACACTTGATCATGATACAAAAATTATAAAAGCTGAAAAAATTATTTCTTTCGATTTCATGTAATATGAATTTCTATCATTAAAATTATTAGAATTTTGGTACAAAATATTCTTAAATTATTTTTCGTTTTTCAGGAAATATATGTTTGCTAGCATTACGATGTGTTTTTCAACACTAAGGGCTTAGAAATTATACTGCCCAGTACAATGGCTGTTGATAATATTTCTCATAGGTGGCGCTTTGCATAGTGTTGTATTAATTAGTGCAGATTTGATTGAATTATTGTATCTTTAGCATCGTATTTTCTTATCAAATCTTTTCTGTTAAAGAATATGCTTGTAATAATTTGACTTATACAACTCAGAATGAAGATTCCTTCATCTAGTATATATTAAAGAAATACGAATTCACACACAAATAATTCAACTCCAAAATTGTAGTATTGATCAATAATATGTCTTATCTCTCATTTCAGTAATTTTTATAGCTGGAAGGGATTTGATATAACTTTTTCATATCTTTGTAATTTTTATATACTTTAGTATATGGTATTTTTATTAATTTATCACCTAGGGGTCTTAACTTGACAAGATTTAAAACCATTTATGAACTTTTTTTTGTTGTTGTCATTTTTCCTATTGATCAATTCTTTTAAATATTTTATCAGGTTTACATTATCCGATTTGAAGTTTTAGAAAAGTATTAATTGCTGTTGAAATGTAAGGGGGAAAAAAACAACAACAACAAGGAAAACCTTACATTTTAAACTATTTTCGTGCAAATTGTAGCCTTTTGAAATAGTCATGGATTTCAAAAAATATATAATAGTTTGTAGAACTTAGCACCATGACAAACTTTCAACCCTAGTTATAATTCATTATATGAAGGAGTTATAGAAATTTTTGCAACTTTATTTAAATAAGTGTTACAAAGTTTTTAGTAGATTGTGATAAGTTCAAAAATGAAGAAATAATGACTTTTAACTTAAAATTTCGTTAATTTATGTTATATATTTATTAAGGTCTTTAATATTCATTGTACAAACAAGCTAGAAGTGTGATCCTATATTTCCCTTTTTTTAAAATTGAAAAGCCATTAAATTTCCCATCCTATATCTCAAATTTTTCAAAAGCTATATTGTTAGGTTAGAAAGATGTTGCTCTCTTTTAATTCCCTAGAATAAAGTGGTTTCTTGATAATTGAGATAAGCTAAAGTGGTCAAAATGGCATACTTTATTTGCCTGCAATGTTATATTTTAAATACATAGGAATTTGTTTTGTCTGGGCAAGTTTTATTTCATTTTGAAAACAAACAGCAGAAAACTGCATCTCATTCTCTTTATGGGGAAGAAACACTCAAAATTTTTAAATTTTTATTCTTTCTTTAGTTGAAGTACTTTTTGCATCGATTATTAAATTTCAACACGTAATTTTATTTATCAGTATCACCATTGGTCTACAATGATGTGTAAATAGTGAAAAAAAATCTACTTTTGCATATTTCTATTCATAATTATATTTTTCCTTGAAAAAAGTGCTGCATTAGAATGACTAAATGCTCATATATTTTTGTAATCGTTTAAAAATTCTTTGATATTGATATTTGGATTAAATTCTTGGTTGCACACACTTTTTATAATTAACACTTATTCACTTTCTCTAATGTATGATGAATTTCATGGTACAAAAAAGGCTATCGAAATATCATTATTGAAGATCTGTTAACTTTTTTAGTAATTGAATTTGTGTTCCGGTCTACTAATACTACAGTCTACTAACAGGACTTGGAATATTTGCTGACAAATATTTAAAAAGTAGTTTTTTTTATTTTATAAAAAAATATTTTACTCAATTTTAATTAAATGAAGTTAAAGTAATTTTTAGTTTAAATAATTTTTAATTTAATTAAGCTTTTAATAGTTGTATTTTTTGTTCAGTATTACATTTTTAGAATTATTAAAATTTTTATTTGTGTTAATTTGCATCGATAAAATATTAATTATTTATTCAAAACTTCTAAAAATCAATTTTATATACTAAAGATATTATTTTAAAATTATTTAATAAATTTTTTTTTGTATAGGACAAGTAGTTTTAGTAATTGCATTGAAAGTGTTAATATTTATTATTTTAAAGAATTATGTTTTCTAATATGTATTTAAGTTTATCTTACCTTTATAATTCAGTAATGTTATCAGATGTCAGAACATTATTTGTTGTTTTGCCATTTTCTTCTAATGCTCCAAATAATTCCAAAGTTCCAACTTTCTTCAAACATTAAAAAAATCTGAAAAATAAACGTCTGAAAATTTCCAAAAACATAGAAAATCAAAAAATTTCTTTAATAGGGAATATTTTGATTGATGCTCTGTATTTAAAATTGAGTTCACTGTAAATTCAATTAAGGAAAAAATTTACCGTTGAAGACTCTTTTTAAATGTGCTGGGTTTAAGAATATTACAATAAAATTTATTCTGATATTTGTATGTTAACTGATTGACTCTTTTTATATATTTTAGACTGATGATGGATCTGATGACCTAAAGAAAGGCACTCAGCTGCTGGAAATTTATGCATTAGAAATTCAAATGTACACAGCTCAAAAGAATAATAAAAAGTTAAAAGTAAGACACATTTTAGATCTTTTTAGAAGTTGAGTTCATCATAAAAAATGTTTAGAAAACTACAAATTATGCATAATTAAAATTAAAAAACAATGATATTGATTTGACACTGATATTGATCTAGTTGATTTTGTTGATTGGCTTTGTGCTCAAATTAAAAGATTAGGATAGAGTAATGATTATTGAAATAAAAAATAGTTGAAAGCATTTATAATTTTTAAGAGTTGATAATAGTTCATATTTTATATGTTCAAAGGCGAATGTGTTTTTACATGCTAAGCTCTAATTAGTCTCTAGATATATATAGTTTAAATCCTAATTTATAAAAGTGTTAATAAATATTGACTAGAAATTAGAACAATTTTTAAGTATCAAAGCTTTTTTTTAAGTACTTAAATTTTTGTTAGCTTGTTTTTTTTGTTGTTTTTTTTACCATTAAAGAAATCGGTTTAAACCCAACTATTAAGTAGAGATTATTAATTAACTACACTTGAACCCCAATTTTACGTTTTCCTTCAGACTAGCTTTAAAAAAGGCACGAAGCAGGAAAGCATTAAATCAGAGTTAAATAACTGTAAGCATATTTAAAAAAAAATTTAAACTTACAGGATGAACTATTAAAAGAAATGTGTAATCTTTACTTGTTTTTAGATACAAGTTTAACAAACTACATCTCAAACCTTAGATTTGTAAATTTACTTTTTTGTTTACATTTGCAAATAAATATTATTTCAATGTGATTGTTCATATTGTAATGTTTTTTTTTAAAACTATTAATCAGTTGTGGAAATATCCTCTGATATTTTTTACTCATCTTTGAAAAGTACTACTTTTGGATGTAAGTTTACTCATATTCAAAAAGTAATGGGATCTGTGTTTTAATCGTTATAAATGCTTTCGACTTGAGAAGATTTTCAGCCATGTAATTTTATTCTGAAATGTCAATGTTCTCATTGGATACCGAGGAGCCTGCTTTATTAAACCCTTTTGTAATATGTTTTAGTTGATACTGACCAATGCTGTAAGAATAAAATTTAAAGCTTCTGGAACATTTATCGCTTTTGAAGCATTTTGCAGGCCATGAGAGGGACGAAAATAAATGATAATCTAACTACTCAGTGTTTTCACTACAACACGAGAATCTCGCCTATTTTTGTCTTTTCTTGCAATAAAAACCGATTAACGAGAGAAGTTCGCGCACTCTATTAATCAATTTTAAAATTCATGAATTTTGGAAACAATTTTGCCTTTTGCCATTTTAAATAAAATCCGTTTCACTTTTCTTCCTTGATCTTTCATTATTTTGAACATCGGTCCTTGTTATCTAGCTTCCCTATTTATCAGTATTGTTCAGAACCGGTGCGAACAGCAGAGCACCACCCCCCCGAACCACAGAACCCCTTTCAGAACACATTTCTCTGCAACCGTGTGTTATTTTTGTCTTTTCTTGCAATAAAAACCGATTAACGCGAGAAGTTCGCGCACTCTATTAATCAATTTCAAAATTCATGAATTTTGGAAACAATTTTGCCTTTTGCCATTTTAAATAAAATCCGTTTCACTTTTCTTCCTTGATCTTTCATTATTTTGAACATCGGTCCTTGTTATCTAGCTTCCCTATTTATCAGTATTGTTCAGAACCGGTGCGAACAGCAGAGCACCACCCCCCGAACCACAGAACCCCTTTCAGAACACATTTCTCTGCAACCGTGTGTTCACCGTAGGTAAGGTTTCTTCATGTAAGACGTTTTAATTTTTTGTACATGAATGTAAGATGGACAAATACCTTGTTAAGGCATAAGTCCATATTGAACAAATGAAAATGAAACAAATGTCGTTAAAAACGGTCAAAACGAAGCAAATACAGATATTTTTCAGCCAAATAAATATAATAGCCGATGAAAAAGTAGATATAGAACATTTTCCATATGATGATGCAGCAAAAATATTCAATTAGAAGATGTGAAAAATGTATTATAATGAAAGAAATAATTTTTTTCCAAGTCTATTTGTGTTTTTTTAATTTTTAGAAATCTCACTTAACTTTTTGAAATCTCACCCTGTTTTTGAGAAAGGGTGAGAAATTCTCTCCCATTTTTTTTCTGTAATGAATACACTGCTAGTTATTTAGTGTAATGTTCTGTAAATAATTGGATTAACTTCATAATAATTGGACTGAAAAAATTCCACAAATTTTACTATTTAAGCTCTCTTACGTCCTTTAACTACCCTTTCTGTGAATTACCCAATCCCACCACTCTTCTATTGAGTCATGGAAGAAATCCCCTCATAGAGACAGGAGGATAATTAGATTGAATGGAAAAAATATTAGAACAGCTTCAAACAGCTAATAAATAAATGTCTCTCTTAAAAAATAAATAGAAAGTAAAAATAAATGAAGGAGAAAAAAAAAGAAAGAAAGAATTTGAAAAAAGTTTGTGCAAGCTTTGTAGAGAAAAATTGGTTTTGATCTGTTAGAAAAAGTATTAAAGCAAGATTTTTTAAAAATAGTTTCGTTAATCAGGTCTAATTTAACACTACCAATATGATTAATTTTCACAAACCAGCAGAAAATGATCTAAGAAGCGTAATAACGTACGGAATGGATAATGTAAAATTTGCTTTCTCTTGTAATTTAAATTTGCAATTATGTAATATTTCGGATGAATTTGATTTGAGTTGAGATATTAATTTGTATTTGAGTTATTGTAAAAACCCTTAAAAATTGAAATTAAATGTTATTGAAGCTAGATAACATGATCAAACACTAGAATTGTTTGAAGTTTTGTTGTGATTCTAGGACTGTTGACAAGTCGAAATTTTTATATCATGCACTTTTCAAAATGAATAAAAACAAATCTACTAAATTTTTAATTCCATGGATTGCTAAAGATAGAGGACAAGTGGGGTCAATTTGTATTTTTCATTGTGACTTACATTCACTAATTAATATTCGTAATTTTAAAAGTTTTGACAATTAAACTGTGGTTTCCATAGTCAATTTTTAAGACTTTCATTAATTTAAATAATATGTTGTAATAAAATCATGTTTTTATTTTACTTACTAACAAATTTGCATTTATGAACCTGTTGATCTATGAGTGTTATGATTTGTCAATTCTCTTGTAATTGAATATGATCATTGTCAGTTAATGTTATTGTCTGTACAAATTGTCTTTTGTGTTTTGCCTTTTTTTCGTTAAAAAGTATCTAAAATTATATTGCTCTTTCTGGCCCATGATGCAAAACACTTTATTCCTTAAGTGAGGTTGAGTTAAAGTTTTTTATTATTTTTTTATCTACTTTGTAATTTTAATATTTAATGGGGGATAGATACAGCCAGTATTGGAAATCATGTTGATACAGTGAAGTATCTTTGTCAGATAACCAGAGATTACTATTAAAAATGCCAATACTGTTTAATTAGTTTTTTCTTCTGCTGCAGATGTAACTTATTTGTCTTACATATTCTTATTTATATTAAGTAAAGTAATTGCATATATTAAATAAATTGCATTTATTAAGTAAAGTAATTGCCTTTGTATTAAAATTGGTGATTTTGCTTTTAGAAATTATATGAACAGTCATTACATATAAAATCAGCTATACCACATCCTTTGATCATGGGAGTAATAAGAGGTAATATAATAATTATTTTGTCTAAACAGCTTATTGTATATAAATAGCTTGACCCCTGTGGCAGAATTTTTTCTGACTTTCTGTGACAAACCTAACTAGAACCAATATCTTTCTGCAAGATATTTTTATCGTTATAAATGTATGTGTAATGAATTTATAATAATAGATGAAATTCGTGTTTATAAAATAAGTCTACATGCATAGAATAAAACTGTGTAGATTTTTTTTTCTTAATTTCATAATATAAGTTTACATTTCTTAATAAGTTTAAATTGTTTAAGTATAAATTTGCATAATCTTCGATAATAACGAAAAGTTATAAATGTATAGATCTGCAGATAAAAATGCTTACTAGAGCATAAATAAAGATTACCCAGAACCTGTAATAAGATAGAACTTATAGAAATAAGCTAAGAATGGACGAAAAGATTAAATTTATAAAACAAGATAACTGAATTTGAAGTATCAGTTTAAAACAGTATCAAAATTTAATTATTAAAGCAGTTTAAAACAGTATGATTTAATGTTTCATTATAATAGTTATATCAGGTACAGAAACAAATCAGGTGAAAAAATTAATATTGAAGTTGAGTAATCAAAATAATAAATTAGAATTGACTATAACCAAATTCCAAAAGCAAAAAAATTAAAGCAATGCTTGTTTCAATTTTTTCTATATCTAATTAATTATAGATTAATTAGATTCGATTAACATTGTACTGACTTATTGAAAGATTTTTTTTTTTAAAAAAAAGGAGGTAAATAAAACTTTTTTCGTGATCAGATTAAGTTTAGAACGAAAAAAAATACACAGTGCTTGTGATTTCGCACTGTATTGTGTAAATATATAGCAGTGATTCCACACGAAGTATGCAGAAGCGGTTTCCGACTCAATATGCTCAAGTCTATTCAACATCTCAAAACGAAATAGTCTTTATCAGTACTGAAACATTGGTATTAGAGCCATACTCATTGGGTGCGATTTTTTCGCATGCGTATGGAAACCTGTTTGAAAGTGTTTCACCGGTAAATATTTTCCACCAATCTGGTTTTCATATGCATGCCAAAAAATCGTAGATAGTGAGATATCTTTCAGGCTTTATTTCATTTAACGTTAGATGGCGAGTGTTTTTTTTTATTATTTTTTTTTATCGACGACTTAATTCAAAGGATATAGGCATTTTATCTTTAAAAAAATATATATATACAGTACGACCTCGAAAATCCGGACTGCTTGGGGGTTTGGTAGGTCCGGATTTCGGAAATTTCCGGATTTTAGATACCTTACTTAAATTGATAGAATTATCGAAGTTCCGAATTCGACAGGCCGATTTTGCGATTAAACGTGCTTGTGTAGACCTCCGACTTCCATTTTAACAACTAAACATAGATACTATATGCTTTAAATAATAAATAAGAGACATTACAAATCAAACAGAGACAAAAAGTAGCCTAAAATAATATATTTATAGCAACACAATTAAATAAACTTTAACTAAATTATTTTTTAAACATATCAAAAATCGTTAGTTGTTTCATAGATTTCATTCTATGTTTGCTTATTTTTTCTTTTACTTTATAGAGTAACATTAACTCGTGCTCATCAACAATGTCTCTTTGTTCCAAACCTTTAAGAACATTGTTCATATTTGTTAACATTTCATCCAATGACACTAATCTTTCTTCATTTGGAGTTTCAGTTTCGGAATCACTGTTTTCTTCACGGCCATTTTTTTTTTATTGTCCGTCATGTGGTTGACTATAGGTAAATCGTCGTCGCACATCATGACCTCCTCGATGTCATCTTGATCGATTTTGAACACGCACTTTTTAGCGTAATCGAGAAGTTCATTAACTTCAAATTTTGGACTTTTGAAAGTTTGAAACCTTCACAATCGTTTTCACTTTCATTTTCAAAGAAAATGGTAGAAGGCAGCAGATTGTTCCAACCATGCCTCAAAGTTTCAGGCGTAACACTATTCCATGCATTTGCAGCACAGTAAAGGGCATCCTTCATGTTAAATTCCTTTACAAATTCTGTGATGCTCTTGCCCTGATTGAGAGAACGGAGCATTTTCTCCAAAAAGTCCTTTTTATACTTACATTTTAAAGATCTTAATATCCCATTATCCATAGGTTGAATGAGAGAAGTGCAGTTTGGAGGCAAGTACATCACTTGAACTCCTGATTTCAAAAAAATTTCAGCTGGAGGATGTGCTGTGCAATTATCTAAGAGGAGAATAATTTTGGCATCGCTTGGAAGCCCAACAGCATTACAATGAGCTCGAGCTTTCGGAATGAAATTATCGTTGAACCACTCTTCTGTCAATTCTTGCGTAATCCATGCACGCTTGTTCGCTTTGTATACAACGGGTAGACTTTGAACGTTTTTCAATGCTCGAGGTCTAGCACTTTTGCCGATTACCATCAGCTTGAAGCGATGAGATCCGGAAGCATTAGCGCACGCCAACACAGTTAGCCTCTCCTTTATATCCTTCACACCGGATCGATTGCTTTCATCTGCAGTGGCTAAGGTTTTTCTTGGAACATAGCGCCAAAAGAGAGCAGTTTCGTCGGCATTATAAATCTGATCGAAAGATAAATTATTTTCAGCCACAAATTCGGAAAATTCATTAACAAAATGCTCGGCAGCTTCAACGTCAGCTAACGCCTTTTCCCCGCAAATTCTTAATTGCCTTATTCCATGACGTTTTTAAAATTTATCTAGCCATCCTGAAGAATATTCACAAGGCGTTTCTATTTTCAATTCTTTGTGATAGAGCCTTGCCTGTGCCATAATAATTGCGCCAGTCAAAGGCACTTTCTCACTTCTTCGTTGCCGTACCCATTCTATCATTATGCTATCCAAATCTTCGTTGTTGGCTTTGCGTATAGTCTTTCTCTTATCCATCTCTAAAGGTACGTCACTTTTTGCAAAAAACTGCAGTATTTTATCTTTCTGCTTAATTAAATCATAGACAGTTGATTTGCCGAGTTCGTATTCGATGCACAGATTAGCCACTGAAGTTCCTGATTCATATTTCCGAAGCATTTCTACTTTCTTCAAAATTGAAAGAGAATTGTGTTTCCTCTTCTTCGAACTTTCATCTTTTTTTCCCGTAATCGATCTTATAGATAACATAATGTTAGATAACAATTCGTTAAATAACAATTAAAACTAAAAATATAGGCTTTTAAAACGGGAGCTGACTTTCAACATACAACTAAAACGGATGCTTCTAGACTAGACTGTAACAGCTGATACTAATCCTTTTTTTGTTGGGTAACGAAAGAACTTGTCCCCGCCTCCCACACTTCAAGGTTAAGAAAGAACCCGTTTTCTTTCTTCACAAGGGGGAAAAACAAGGTGGTAGAAGAATTCCTCCTCCTACACACCTTATCTATCAAAGAAAATAGAGGGGATTCCCCTATCTCCGGAGGGGAGTCCCCTTTGTTCTCTCTACAAAGCTGATAAGAAGGACTGGAATTTCCTTATCAGCTATGTACTTTCATTCACTCCTCACCCCTACCTCTTCTTCTACTGCTTCCTTGTTGGAGAAGAGTTGCGATTTTGCGCTCTTAAGTTAAAATTTTTATTTTAAGCGATTTTTTTTTTTGTTGAAATTTTTTCCTGACGAACTGGATGTAAAGGTCCGGATTTTAGAAGTCCGGATTTTCGAGGTCGTACTGTATATATATATATAGTTATTTTTTACTTGTTTCCTTTGGCTGCTTCTAAAATTTCTTGATTTGTTGGAAATGCTGTCTCATCTTTACTATCGATATCGCTACTAGTAAGAATATTTAATTCAAATCTAAAACGTTTTTCTTCTTCTCAATATTAGTAGCGTGGGAAGCTTCTTTTCCTGTCGCTTTCCAGAAAAAAAATCTCTGACATAACTAGATGTTGTCGACTTCCATCTTATTTCTTCTTCGGAATGCCGCCTTGAAAAATCAGTTTTCAAATTTGTTTTAATTATTGGGGCTTCTCTATTGCAACAAATAACCTTTTCGTTAGACATGATTTTTTTAAAAAAAGAATCTTTTTACGCATGAAATTTTCCACATAAGTAAGTGCAAAAAATATAAAATGCTCTGTTCTCATAAGAAAACACAAAGCAAATTACTGCGCCAGCGATAGAGGCCGAAGTTGGTAAATTTCCAAAAATAGCTTAATAAAGGGGAAAATAATTCTCCCCTTTTTATCCATTAACTGTTTGTGTTGGAGATTAACGGAGAATTACGAGCGCTTTCTCCTTCTGCGGTACGCTAGAAAAAAACAATATTTAAAACAATTCTGTAAGAAAAAAATTTTTCAGAACCATTATTGCTTCTGCAGAAATTTTTTGTTTCTGTAGAAAATGTTTTTTTTTTTTTTTTGGTAAAACAGCTTCTGTTTCTGCAGAATCTTTTTTGAGAACTTTGGCAAACCAAAAATTTTTATTTCCCAAATAAAAAAAATCTTTCTGCAACAATGCCGCTGTGCCGCCGTGTTTCTGCCACGGGGAGCTTGACCGTCCACCAATTACTCAATGTTCAGATTTGTAATTTATTTTCCATCTTTTGTTCTTATAAAAAAGTAACTCAGTGTTTTTGCTGTTGAAATTTTTTTATTCCTCTGTCTGACTGCTAATTGAAGAGATGTAAAAAATTCACTTATTAACATTTTTTAGTTGTAAATTTTTTTTCTTCTCAAAAAAATTGCTGTGAAATCATTGTTATTTATTTCTTATACATTTCATTTCTTTCATTCCAAAATACAAAGTTTTGCGTGCCTATTTGCTTTAAGTAGTTGTTTATTATTATTTTTTTTCTTTCCTTTTTTTGCTGAATTTTGCTTCCAGATTAAGATGCATGTCGTTTTCTTATCATTTGCTTATTCTTGTAAACATTTATTCTATAGTATGTCGATAATATGCAATTTAGTTTCGAAATATTTTTTGTTGCATGAAAATAGTTGCCAGCTTTCTTCTGAACTTATTTTGATCTATTTTTATATTGAGGAATCTGTTTCAAGTCGAGAAAATTCAGATTCCAAGATTTCTCACCGTTTGTGAACATGCAGTAAGAAATCTCGAAACCTGGAATGGAAATGGCTCTTAAATTATTTATGATGTCACTTTTTAAAATCATTCCTGTTCAACATGTTCTAATTTTGATTTTTATTTGAAAACGTTGAGTTATTATTATTTTTTTTAAGTGTTATGGAGAATTAAAGAAATGCCACACAAAATTCAATTAAGCGGATATAGTTTAAACAAAATCTATACTTAAATTGTTGAAGATGAAAGTGAAGTGTAGAATTATATTCAAGACATTGCTTGGTTATAATTCTTAGTGACAATGTGTATTTGACATTAATATTATCAGTTCGAAATGTAGCTTGCTCTGTTCTACGAATGTGTCCAACTTTGTTCTATATGCAATGATTTTACCAAAAAATTTTGATGGTATTGATAATATGATTACACCCTGATTGATTTTCGCATTTTGTTAAATCTCCCTTTTTTGGTATTTTCATTATCCCTGCCTCTGACCCAGGATCTTGTTTTCTGATCATTGTTTGCCAAACCTATTGAATAATCTTGATTGATTTCTGTCTGATGTTTATAGATCAGCTATAATCTTAACATTTCCACATGCTTCTTTGACTAATTTCTCTCTGAGCAACTTTGAGTTCATTTGGCAAGATCCTTTCAACAAAGTTGTTTAGCAATTGATTGGCATTTAATTCCTTTTTAGATTTTTATTAAAAAAATAGTAGCAGGCAGGGTTGGGTTTTTGCCGTCAAAAACTGGTTTTTGACATGACAGTGGTAAAAACCGACATAAACCTACTGTTTTCTTTAATTTATGGCATATAGAGGACAATATATTATATTTACATAATTGCCTTTATAAATGAATGTTGTAAATGATTGCTATTGATTTTGCAACTATATACACGCATTCTTATAGAAAGATAAAAATTCATGCAGAAATACTGTATGAATATATATCCTTCTATACTAAATATTGTAATATACTTATTGAAAATAGTCATACTTACTTTTATCATTATAGCTTGATTTGCAAAGGATTCAAAATTTTGCACTTCTTAATTGTGAGAAATAAACAAACAAACAAAAAAGCTTGGCACTAATAATAATTTCAAGAACTAAAAAGTATTTAAAATTTGGCATTTCTTAAATATTAGAAATAAGCTAAACAAAACTTTCAAAACTTGTAACTACTAACAAATTCTAAGTAAAGAATTACTGCTATTTTGTCAAGTTAAAAACTTTTATTCAGTTGAAAAAGCACATTAAACAAAATTACATGTTCAGTAGTCGGGGTCACTGTGCCGAAGCATACAATTGCAAGTGACTAATTTCGCGCATTTTTCATTGCTTGGAAATGTTGAAAATTTTGTTTAGTATCCTAATATTTTACTTCAAATAGTATGTTTTGATATAATAATGTTGGAAAAATGTAAGAATCTGTTCTTAAATATCTTTTAACAACTTTTTTTCTAATTTTATTGCCCAAAAATGAATTAATTTTAAATTATAAGCAGTTAAATTCAAATATAAATACAGTTTTGCAAAAACTATGGATTTTTGACAGAGGTTTTTTTGACATGATGTAAAAACCGTCAAGCGCCAAAAACTTGCCAACCCTGGTAGTTGGTAAATCAAAAGATTCTACATGACAAACATTTAGAACTTCTTAAATATCCTTCTTATCTTTCTTTTGTGTCAGTATCGGAAATAAGATTTTCTCCAATTGACTGAGTAATTTGAGTTTCTCTTTTTACCACTTATTGTTTGATAATCTCGTATAATTTTCTGGTTTGACCTCTATTCTTGGCTCCTTGTGTATTTTTTGCTAATTCATTTAAAAATTCTGTTATTAGCTCTTGCGACTCATCTGTCCATTTCTGTGTACTGTTTCATACATAGGACTTCCACAATCTTTCAGATTTTAAACTGTCCTTTAAGATCTTAACTTTGTTTCTTTTTCAATTTTATTCCATGTATCACCAGGGAGTGAGCTATTCATCTTTTTTTTTATTTTTTTTTTTTTATGTTTCTTTACTTTTTGCTCTTAAGAATTAGTTTGCAATTGTATTTAAAACTCCTTTAAAATTTTTCCCAATCTTGTTCCACAATCATAGCCGTTTGCTCATTGTTCTGAGTATCTAGTGCTACAAACTCTAGTGTTTTCCAACTCTAAACAAAATCTATCCCACACATCTCTAGCTTTAAATTTTGATACTGGTTGGAACAGCTGCTCGAATTACTCCAAACTGCTCCAGAATGTAATTTCTGCTCCAACCTGCTCCAAAATGTCGTTTTTTTCCCTCCAAAATTGCTCCATACTGTTCCAAAACTCAAAAATAGTCATTAAGCAAAAAGTGAAATTGTGGTACAATTTGGAACCAAATTAGTGCACAAAAGTCTGTTATATTGCTCCAAAACAGCAAGCAATTTTCTTTTTTTCCTTAAAAATTGATCAAAGTGTTTAGATACATTTTTCGAATTGAGTGTGCCAGGAAGTTATTAATTTGAGGGTCCATCCAATAATTGTTTAAAATATTTTATGCTTTTTATTGAAATTTTATTTTACCAGATTCGTTATGAAAATTTTCTGCACTCTTAAATTTTTTATGAAAAAACATTTCAATAATTTTTAAAGACTAAAGTAGAAATTGAGAAGGGTATCACTTTTGTAACTTTTAACAACTACAACAAGAAATCTTATGTGCTGCAGATTTATGAATTCAAAATAGTGTAATTTATCTTTTTTTTAAAAAATTTGATTCAGAAATAGTTGAATTAAATAATATCAGATTTGTTAAAGTTTTTTGATTTCCAGTAATACCATGCATGGATAATTATATTCTGGTTCTTTGTAGAATCCTTCCAGGTCTAAGCTTTTGAATGGGGGTAATGTTTTTAATCATAAAGACAATCAGTAAATTATTCATTTCTCAATTATTCATCCTAAGCTTGTGGATGTCTTTATGATTAAAAACACTACCCCCAATCAGTAAATTATTCATTTCACAAAAGGCATTAAAAAGCTCTTTAATTTCTTTTCTTAGACAATTTCCCAACCATCTCACTAAATCCCACTAAGATATTAACATTATGACTAAGATAATATAATGAAATATTTGATGGAAAATAAGTGGAGCTAGTTTTTCTCTTTGTCATTTGCTAATAGAATTTTGAAGTTTTATTTATTTATCATGCAATAAAACAAGCTCAAAATATTGCTGTTACTAAAGTGTTTTTTCTATTAAGCAATACCATTGTCTTTATGTAATTTACATTTGCTTTAAAAAAAATTTAATAGCTTTATTGATTTATTTTATGTTTTAGAATGTGGAGGTAAGATGCATCTTCGAGAAGGAGAATATGAAAAAGCTCACACGGATTTCTTTGAAGCTTTTAAAAATTATGATGAATCTGGAAGCCCCCGGTGCGTGATCAATTTTTTAATTTCTTTCTTTTTTTCTTTTACCAAGTACAGTGAGCTCTTGATTATTTGTTGTATTGTGTGATGTAATCACTAAGCTAATTTCAGGCTTATTAACTGCCCTAGATTCTCCAAAGTTTCTCTGGTATGATGAGAAAGCTAAACCAAACTAACTACAGTTTTTTATTTTGCATGTAAATCGTAAAATGATTAACAAAATATCAGTATTACAGTAATATCAACTATCCAAAACTAGTGAAAAGGAATCAGAATTATTGAAAATGGGTTTGAACTGTCTTTTAATAATTTTGGCAATGAAAGAAACTTATTGAGTCTTGAAAAATATAAATTAGAGTTCGTATAATAGTAGTTTGACAAATTTAAATTTTAATAAAATTTTTTCATTTGAAATCACTTATTCTCATCGAAACATGCAAGGAGGAAATTTGTAGTCTAGTAATGTCCTTTAGAGACTGATCTACTGCCCAGTTACAAGAATTTCCTAATTTCTTCACCTGAAATTATAAACTCTTTCAAAATATCGATAAAAGAACTACCTGACCTAAGTATTGTGAGCAAAATATGCTAATTATTCTCTATTACTACTACTCATCAGCTTAATAGTTCCTTGAAAACCCGAGCCTTCCTCAGGATAGCCCTCTATTTCTCATGGTTCTGGGCTTTAAACTTTCAATTCTTGATTTTTAACTTTTTTGTATCCTCAACATCTTCCAACCATCTTTTTCTTGGTCAAGAACTGACAAATTTTGAGTCAAAGACCTTTCTCACATCTGTCAGTGACTATATCATAGTTTTTATACTTTTCCGAAATCTCCACATTTTATGTAAAAAAATTTCTCTCTACCTTTCTCTCCCAGATTAACAAACTTTCCTGATCTTTTTTCACTTTAAGTCCAGGACTCCCTTCCATATTATTTAATATTGTATTTAATATATTATAATAGTATTTTAACAGTGTTTGGAAGAGCCTATATGCTTTGCCTTTTTTGAACTGTTTATCTCAATTGAGATACCATTATTTTTGGTAATTATTGCACCCAGATTAATAAATTGTTTCACTAGCTCAAACTGTTCCTCACCAAATGTTAAACTTTGTATGCTATTAAAATTATGTTCATCTTTGGTGGCAATAAAATATTTTAATTAACTTGTAATCCTATCTTGATTGTCTTTTTTCTGGTCTGTGTATATTAGGGATGCCAAAACTGGGAAGTTTTTTTGTTTCTCACTTTGGAAAAAATACTGCTGTATTAGAAAGTTAATTTGTATTAAAAAATTTTTTTTACTGTTCATCCTGACTTTTTATTCCTGTATTGTCTTAGTGCAACTCTGAACTTGATTCTAACAATTTTTGTACAAGTTTTATTTATTCCTATAACTTCCTTGCTTCTCTGTAAATGTAGCTAGCATGTTGCTTTCAGTTAAGATCTGAATATATCTTAAGTTTTTGCCATTATAGTTTTACGTTAATCATGTTGGTCCCAAAATTTTTTTTTTTGTGTGGCACTTGCAAACTACAGCACTTGCAAACCGCAGGAGGGAACACTATCGTTGTAGGATAACTGATCTCATCAAGATAAAATACTGTGCTACAGAATCCTACAAGGACCAAAAATAATGTGGGGTGTATTTTCAAGCAGATAAATGAAAGTTTCATTGAACAAAACAGTAGTAGCATTTGTTATAGCAATTTGTATACATCTGAGTTTCTCCTAGTATCAGATTGTGAATAATTATGTGTTTATTGTACTATTATTTTAATGACTAGATTTATGTATATTAATGTTGCAAATATTTTTTTTTTTAGGCGGACAACATGCTTAAAATATTTAGTTTTGGCTAATATGTTAATGAAATCTGGTATTAATCCCTTTGATTCACAAGAAGCTAAACCCTACAAAAATGATCCTGAAATATTGGCTATGACAAATTTAGTGAGGTATATTTTTAAAGATTTTTATTGTTATTTATTTATAAAAATTTAAGATTCCAATAGAATTAATGTTTTCATGTTTAGTTAAATGTAAGCAAAAATTCTAATTATTGGCAACATTTGTGATTCGTTCAAGGACGAAATTTCAAACTACATTAGACATGAGATCTGCAATTTATTACTTATTTATAATTTTTTAACATTTTTTTTAAGTTTTTATTTCTGAGGATGTTGAAAAATAACCAAACTGCCAAAAGCTTTTTAGATAATCTATTCAAAATTGACTTTGAGTCCATTCTATAGATTGATCAATATTGAGATCAGATTCAATACGGCCTATTGAGAAATTAGACCTATTAAGAATTGGAAAAACTTTCACTGATAAATTTTTGTAAAGTTATTACCAGTGATTTCTACAGTCAATCTTTTATATTAGCTATTTTATTTTGATTTGTAAATAATTTAAAGCTGGTTTTCAAAGGCTCTGTTGTCACATGATATAATGCTTTTTAGTTTGGAGAGTATTTTTTTCTAGTATGATATTTTTATAACTGCTGCAAGTTTAACAGTTATGTAAGACTGTCGCCTATATTTAGCTACTGTCCTCTAGGCTAATTCTGATAATTAAGTAAAATGTTAATGCAAATAAAAGTGAAATAAAAATCATTCCTAACCCATTTTTTTTTCAGTATTTGAATAGATACTCCAACAGTACAGATACTCATTAAAAATTGCAAAATATAGGAATAATTATTAGACTTAATAATTTTTATCAAGGTGAAAAAATCTCATCAAATTTGAAATTGTTAAGAATGCTTAGTAACTTTTTAAATATTTAAGCTATTTGTTTGCTTTTAAGCTTAGATGTTTGATGACATATAGTTTAAAATTAACTTTGCTTTGACAGTAAAATATTTAGACCGGGGCTTTTCTATTTTAATTGGATGAAAAAGCTTTGAAACACAAGCTTAATGCTATATAATAATGTTTTAACATTTCTATCACATTAATTTAATCCTAAATTCTAACATTAATTGAATCCTAAATAGTTTGAACATTTTTCTAATATTATGTTTTCTGTCCTCAATATTAGATATCAATCCTCTTGTTGAAGGTTTAAAAACTTACGGTAAATTATTAAAATGAAACCTTACATTAGACACATCTACAAATGAAGACATTTTGTTAAATCCTCTTTAAGGTATAAATTCAATAACAATGAAAATTGAAGAGAAAAATTATGAAATACATAATTCCAACTATATAAAATTGCATCTTTCCACCATTTTTTATTATATAAAATTTTTTCTTTATCCGAAATTAAGAATATTGTTAAGCATCTACTACCAAATCAACCTATCAACTTCCTTTATTTTACAAAGGATAGGAAATGATACTGCTCATGTAAAATATTTCAGACATCAGCATCTTTTTATCTGGGTGACACTGGTTATGTGAACCTACTAGTTAAAATCATGGATTAAATGCTCTTAATTTCCCTTCCTTTTCTTTTAATCAATTCGCCCCCTGTAGTTAACACAGCTGATTTTAAAAAAAATTAGAAAATGGAAATCTAGTCATGGAACTGTTTATATAAATCAAACATTTATTCAAACTCTTGACAAATGATCTATTGTGAAAACTGCAACAACTTAATGGTGTGGTGTCTTACCGGTATTGCCACATTCTTTTTTTATGCATCACAGAAGATTTATCTTTTAGTAGGTATCACCACGTTTCCTATCATGCAGGCCCGGACTGGCCAGTAGGCAGACCGGGCAAATGCCCGGTGGGCCGGTCTGGCCTCAGGGCCGGTTGGACCGAGCCAGAAGTGCAAAATTTCTTTTTATACATTGCATGAATTTCAAATAATATTGCGCAAATAATAATAATATTTAATAACATATTTATGATATATGTAGTAATAATATTGTTTTAATATACAGAGTGATTTAGATCATGCGTGCCACCCATTTTTTTCGAGAATGAAAATAATCAATCTGAAATAAAAAATCTAATGACTAAATCGACCCCAAGGAATTCAATAGTGATATTTTTAATTCCCGGAAGTACCGGAATTTGAACACAGTTTTGATTTTTTAAATGAAAACCTATATCTTATTTGGCATCATTGGAGAGGGTTTTCGAAAAAAAGTAACTTTTACTTGAAATTTTTTTATATCTCCTACTGTTCTCAAGATAATATATACGAAAAAAATTCTGATTATTTACTTCAATTTATAATTTTTATCAAAAATAATTCACTTAAATTATCAAAATCGCTTCAATTTTTCGAAAACATGTGAAGAAAAGCACAAAGGTAATTTAATGAAAGTAAAAGACATTATGACGAAAAAAAATTTTTTAGTGAATGTGTCAAAATCTATTTAATATGTATTTTTTCTTATCTATTATCTTGAAAATAGTAGGAGATATTAAAAAATATTTTAAGTAAAAGTTATTTCTTTTCAAAAATTCTCTCCAATGATGCCAAATAAGATATAGGTCTTCATTTAAAAAATATATGAAATATCGTGTACATGAAAGACTTCTTGCTGTTGTAGAGTGAATGTAAATCTTCAACTGGACAGAAGGTGTCTTCTTTAGTGGATTCAGTTTTAAAGTCTTGTAATATAGATATAACAAAGTGCATCGGTAATTCAACAGACGGGACTGCAAATATGCAATGCGAATATAAAGGATTTTCTTCATGGCTTTCCAAAGAGTCCCCTGGTCAAATTCATGTTTGGTGTTATGCACATGTCTTACATTTAGTTTTAGGAGATACCACGAAGGCACTAAGTGCATTATTTTTCAGCCTACTAAATAGCTTCGCAGTATTTTTACGTGAATCATACCAACGCGTGAACATCTGGGAACAAAGTAACGAGCACGGAAATAAAAAAAGGCTCGCAACTATTGGAGAAACACGTTGGTGGTTCAAAGATTCTGCATTAAAGAAAATTTTTGGTTAATTTTCAAACTCAGATTCAACTATTAAGCCGTTACATGTCACATTGATTACAAGTTTAGAAACTATACAACAAAATTCAAATTTCAAGTCAGATATCCGTGCAAAGGCAAAAATATTTTTAGAATCATTTTGCAAATATGAAACAGTAATCACCGTCAAAATATTCTCAAGAATATTTGAATTAACTACACCGCTCTCCCAATATTTGCAAACCTCTGGTTTATGCATCCTAAAAGCTTTTGGAATTTTATTACAAACGTGTTCGAGAACTAAAAAAAAGTTACAGATGATTTCATTATTCGCGCAAATAAGGAGCTTGAAGAAACTGAACTGAAATTTAAACAAAGTTTCCATAAAAAAGATTGAAGAAAAAAAAATTGATGCCGGGTGAGACAGCGTCGAATGAAACAGTTTTTGATGATGAAACCATTGCATTTAAGATAAACGCCCATAAAATTATTTTCGCACGGTTGTAGCGTCAATGGAACGCCGATTTCCGGCAAATGGAAAATTGTACGCCGATTTTTCCTATCTAGATCCGAAACGTTTCCCTGAAAAACGTCTTAACAAGCTTCAACCTGGCGAACTAAATGAGTTAAGAAAACTCTTGCTAAAATTTGACGAAACAGCTATTTTTATTTCAAATTTGCGGATTGAACTAAGAAATTTAGCTTTACATTGGGAAAAACTGAAAAATTCAGACTTAGAAGATTATAAAATAATCACAGAAGATCATTCAAATGAAGATAATAACGACTTTACTTTGGAAACAGAAGAAGTAAGTCTAAAATGTGAGACACGCAGTGCGCTCAAAAATTGTGTTATTTGTTGCTGCAAGATGCTACAGAGATTAAATTTATTGACCAATTCTTACAATTTAATTAGTCTAGCATTAAAATTATTACTAACATTGTCAAAAAGTCAGGTTGCTTGTGAAAGATCATTCTCCACATTAAAAGTAATTGAAAATCGAATGAGGAGTACTTTATCTTCGGATAATTTGAATGCCTTCATGGTAATGGCAATAGAAAAAGATCTATTAATGAGATTAGATAGCGACGACATGATCGATCAAGTGGCAGGAAATAGTGATCCTCTTTAAAAGTTAAATTAAATTTTAATTTCAGGACTTTTGAAAAAGCATTAAATCTATTTTTAAATTTTTTTTAATATAAATCATTCATGTATGTGTAGTATAATAAATATTTTTATTTACTCTTCATCTTTCACATTACTTTTGATTTTATCAACCAATGTTTCCTCATAAGAACCATGTATTTTAAATTGAAATATATTCTATAAAGGATTATTAAGCAATTTTTATCTACTTTCTTACTCCGATAAATTAACTTACGTTCATGAGAATTTATAAGTAAAAAATGTCTAAAAATGATACATTAGGAGCCGCGTACTCTTCGCTCACGCGGTGTTTATGTGAAGTATTGGGCCGATATCTCTAAAATGCCCGGGCCGATTTTCGATCCCAGTCCGGGCCTGCTATCATGTGATGGGGAATTTTTGGGATGTAAAATTATTTAAATAGGGGTGAAATTTTTGAAATAGTTGCAAATAATGACCTCATCAATGAATAAACTGAAGCTTTTATTCTTTTTGTATTCTCATGTTTGCCTACATAAGAATACCTACATAAATTTTTCACTAACGCTTAGCTTAGAGAAAGATCCTTTTATAAAATCCTATGCTTTTTTTATACCTTTTTACAATTCAAAAGATAATTCTCGTAAAAAATTTTTTTTTTTTAAATTTGTGTGTTAGCAACAATTGTTTTATGTTTTTTCTATCAATGGAAGTACTTTTGTTATGAAATAGTTAGTTGATGGACTCTGCTATTTCTAATTAAGTGTACCCTAGCAACAAAATAACTTGGGTCCTCATTGGAGCAATATTCATTAATCTTGCCTTAATAAAGAGGGCAGATATTTTCCCGATATCTACCCTATACAGAATTGTTATAGCTCTGTATTAAAAGCCATTCTGGGACAAATAATAAAAAACTAGACATCTCAATATTGTTCCCTTGGTGCATGCTCTTATACGATCCATATTGAGCTAATTTTGAGCCCAAATGGGGCCAAGGTATAATTGTAGCTAGGGTATTATTGTTTATTTTTAAAAATTCAAAATATGTTTTTGAACTTGTTTTAGTGCCTATCAAAATAATGACATAAATGAATTTGAGAAGATACTGAAAACTAACCGTAGGAATATAATGGATGATCCTTTTATTAGGGAGCATATAGAAGGTAATGTAGGATAGATACCTAAATTGGTTTTCATTTTAATTTTCTGTTCTCCTTTTAATTTTTAATATCTTTCAGATCTTCTTAGGAATATCAGGACACAAGTTCTTATTAAATTAATTAAGCCTTATACTAGGATTCATATACCTTTTATTTCAAAAGTACGTATAAGATTACATATATTTTTGAAAGCTTTATTGTACCATATTTTTTAATGTTTTGGTTTACATAATCACTTGAAATTATGCTATATTTTTAAATGATTCAATCCCACTTGGATTTACGATAAAATTTTTGGCAGTTATTCAGAGTGCGTAGCGTTAAGGTGCTTTTTTCGATCTTCGTATTTTAAAAGCCCTGAAAGGTGCTTTTTTCATTTAGTGTTTTTAAACAGTACTTAATTTTCTTTTTTTTAAAATGAGATATTTATTCTTTGCCATGTTGATTTTCACCGTGAATTATGCAAAAAGACATTGTTCTATTCAAAGTTTTCACAATTAATTCAACTACAATCTATTTCAGCGTACTGTCGGTCCGTAACATATTAAAACGCAATTCATTTAACATGTTTGATGAAATACTTGCGGATCCACATGTGCGTGTACTGAGCTAGATTCAGTGCTGAGGATTTTTACCCCCTCATGTGCAACTCTGCTGCATTTTACAAGGCTTCCTGAAATCAAACTGAAAAATCTCTCAAATTTTCACTGATTTCGAAAACCAACTAAATATAGTAAAAAAATTTCTCCTAATAACGATCGAAATTGATTTATTTCGTTAATTTCATCGTTTGCGATGCGTCATCATCTTCATCACTGGCAGGCTAATGACCTTCTCCTGATATTTCATTTATATATCAATACCATAAACACTTGGGGATCATTCACTAATTGCATATTTTCCTGTTGGTCAAAAATCAAGTAGTTAGTCAAGAGCAGTCAAGAATCCCATAATTTCATCTCCTCAAAATTTCCATCTCCTTTTTATTCATTAAATTTACGAGTAATATTTTACCTGAGAGACGATCCACCAGTACTCTAATACTCTTTTTTTTTGTGCTTATTACTTTTTATTAATTGTATTATTACTTTTAAAATATTCAGTATTAAGTTAATTTATGAGATAATACAATGTTAAGTAGAGGCAAGATTTTAAAACGGTATGAAGTGAAGGGCTTTTAATATTTTAAATGCAGCAAAAAAACTTATGTTTAATTTAATAAAAAAATTCAGATTCGTCATCCGAAAAAACTTTAAATCTTCTCTTAATGATTTTATTTACAAACAATTGAAATCTAAATTCTATTATTAACATTGGGGACATTTTATTAGACATTAAATCATGCACAAAACTATTATAACTATGAAGTATAACTATATACTACTATAATTATAATTCATAGTATATATATCATTTATAAAAAATCTAGCCAAAATCATTAAATTTTTAATCGGTTTTTCTAAAAGCATGGTACTCTTCTTAATACATTATAAGTAAAAACTATGAGTTGTTAATTATCAATCTAAATATTGATTTTAATTATTATAAAGTGGCTGCCAATAATTTTCTGAACTCAACTTATAAATCTTTTTCTTCTTTTGTTTGATTTTTAATGTTTAATTATTACTGACTTATATACAGGTTAGCAGAATATATCTAATCATGCAAACCAAGTTTTGAGGAGAATTCAGGCAACCAAAGGAAAATTTTCTATTTATAAAAATTCCTACAAAAATTTTTATTGTTGAGAAATGTGTTACTTTGCAAATTTTTCCTTGTTAAAAAACATTAAATGTCAATTTGTGTATTTATCAATTTGAATTCCATTAGTTTATGAATGGGACCTTTAATTTAATAAATTATTACTATTTCAATATATTTTGATATGCTCGTTTTTTTTTTCAAGAATTGTATAAAATCAAGCAAATTTATTTTCTTATATAAACTTTACTTTCGAAAAATATTTTTAAAAACTTATTGCACTAAAAAAACTAAAGAAAAATGTTAAAATTTTTGGGGAAATTTCGATTTGAAAGAAAATATTCTGAGTATATATTATGGACTAAGAATTTTCTGGACTCCTGCTTATATGTACATGAATATTTTCTATAAATCATAAATATAATATATTCCCTGATAAGTAAACTAATTATAATTTACAAAAAATATAAATGTTTGTTTAGATGAGTTAATAATTTTTTAAATCTATCTATTCAAGGGTTTTAGTTAACTTACTATCAATATTAATAATTTTTTTAAATCTATCTATTCAAGTGTTTAGTTAAGTTACTATCAATATTTAGTACAGTTATTAAAATAAATTTCCTAATTACCTGTTATTTTACATGTTATAATAGTTTAGTAGGTCAACATTCTAGTCTATACAGCTGAGAATCAATCGAAAGAAAAGTTTCAGATTTCGATCTTATTTATACAAAACTGAAAAATGAACTTAGAGTTCAAAAGGCTTCAAAACTATTTTTTCTGCTTTGAGGAAAAGAGGAGTAAAAATGGAAGTAAATGAAAACTGATTTTACATATATAAAGTATAAGATGATTGTTAAGTGTTTTTTTAAAATAATATAGTTTTTGTATTTTTATTTTCAATAATTAAACAAATTAAGTGATTGGATTGGATAAATTGCAATTTCTCACATTTTTATTTAAAATTATTAAATTTTTTTTCACACCAAAATTTAGGTTTTTGACAGTAATTTTCAAAATAAAAAGAATTTTCCGTTAAAATAATTCAAGAACATAATTGATTGAACACTTGTAATTTTACATGTATGTTAATTTTAAAATATTTCATATTTATAATAGCTATTAATTCTTATACCAAAATTTTGGTTTTTCGACAATTTCTAAAAAACTATGTCAAGAAGCTTTTTTTGACATGGCGGTTAAAACCGTCCATTGTCGAAAACTTGCCAACCATGCCTAATTATTATATAAGTCCTTAAAAATATTTTTGAGTGCTTAAAAGGTGCTTATTTTTTGTTGAAAATTTGGCTATTGCTGGTAATGATATTCATAGTTTTTTACACGAAAACATCATTATTATACAGGTACACTGGAAATTTCTAATCTCTTAGTTCTAGAATTACGTGACACTTTTATCCATGTGGTTTTGTGATTTCCGCATAGTTGTTAAATTTTCGATTTGATTTTTTTAAAATTAATACGATCTCCAAATTACAAATCGTTTTTAAGAATAATCATGTAATGACCCATTTTAGTGGTGAAAATTTCATCTAAAATCCAAAATTTGGAATTTTTGGGCATTTTAAAATTGAGTGTGTGATCCTTTTATGTGAGGCGGGAGAAAAAATTGTGTTTTTTTCTTTTTCGCCCTGTAGTGAAATGCTGAATTTCGTGTCCATGATATCCAGTTTTTTATATGTATATATTATAGCAAAAATGTGATTAAAATAGAACAAAAATCGAAAATCTGGTAAAAATCATGAAGAAACAGAATAGCAGACGATTCTCATTTTTTGATGCTATTTTTTAAACAGGTTGCTGGTTTAAAATTTTTTCTTTATAAAAAAAAATGTTTCTTATTTTAAATGGGAAGGATATGGGAGCATAAAACATACTGTGTTGTTTTACCGGTAGATGTATTATTCAATACCATTGTGAATGTATTAGTTGTCTTAATTGCATAATTTTGTGAGGTTTTAAGCAAGAGTAACAAATGGTCACATTGATCCTCTAAAGATAATAATAGTATATTAAAAATCTTATATTTCTGTTTCCGGATCGTTCAGTGAACTATATTAAATGCACTACTGTAACATAGCTGCATAACCTTACTTTTTCTGCATTGTTAATGTGTCTTTCAATTACAGGAGCTAAATATTGATGTGATTGAAGTAGAAAATTTATTGGTTTCTTGCATATTGGATAGGTAAGTATCCGAAGATACATTTATATTGTCAAAATAAGTGCACAACATAAATAGAATAAGAAATAAATTAGATATATGCGTTAATTGATTAATCTGAATGGTAAAAGTATGAAATAGTATCAGGCTGTATGTTTTAAACAGTAATATTACAGGCGAAAAATCATTTAAGCTATTAAGGAATAGGTTATGTGTGACATTTATGAAGCTATATTGTCACCGCTTTCTATCTCTCTATAAATAGAGACCTTAGAATTCTCTGAGCATTTGAAAATACTGACATAGAAAATCTGAAACTCTCAGGTTTATGCAAAATCAGATTTGGAAATTTTCGGAATATTAGCATTTAATAATGATCACACACAAGTTAAGAACTTTAAAAATGTAAGTATTTTCTTGAAATCTTAATTGATTTTGTTTTGTCCTCAGCTGAGATTTTTGGAAACATGATTTTCTTTTTTTTTTTTCTTCCTCTAAGTCATTAACTCATGTTATCTCATCCAATTGACAGCATTTCATTGTATTCCGTCTTCTTTTTTTTATTTTATTACACTCTTTTTATTTTAAGAGAAAAAAAATCAGTCTAATAGTTAAGTTAAACTTTTCTTTTACCCTTCATGTTTATTTTTCTCCAATTAAAAAAACAAATTATTAACTCTATAAGTAAAGTATTTCGAATTATGCAGTGCCCGTTGCATTAAATTGCATTCCTTCTGAAGACATTTGATCTTATTAAAGGCTGATATATAAATTAATAGAAAAAAAAGTAATTTCAAAGTTTTATATCACAAATTTACAATTTGAATGTTAAGATTTTAAAGAAATGATCAGAACTTAGTTGGCAACTTAATATTATTATTTTAAAAATAAAATTAACTGCGTAATTTTCTTTTCAGTACTATTCAAGGCCGTATAGATCAAGAAAACCAAGTTTTGAAGTTGGACAAGAAAACACAAGGTGCTGCTAGGTACAGTGCTCTAGATAAATGGACTGGTCAACTATCTACTTTACATCAGACTATTGTAAATAAAATGGCATAGCAAGAATATTATAGAACTAAAAAAAATTGCTTAGTCTACAACTGATATTTATCTGTTTGGTGACTAATGCTCGCACTCTGTGATTGATAATGAAACCCTCGTCCATTGGAGACACATTCACATGCCTATTGGATGGATGGATGGCTCATTTTTTTTCTTTTTCAATTGACCATTCCGAATGTGCCTGTACAAAAACTATGAAAAGCATGAATGTGGGTGTGCAATCGTAGAGTGGTTATTTTTTTTTTCACTTTCATGTACCAAATAAAAGCTTCATCCCACTTGTAATTGTTTTGAAATATTGAAAACTAACAGACTGTATTTAATGTGTTTTGTTTATTTGTTTGTGACCTAAGAGAATACATGTTTTTCTACTGTTTGAGAGATAATTAAAAAGTAACTAATTTATAAGTTGTCTTAAATAAGTGAAGCTTTCATTATTGCTGAACCAAAGTTCATGCCGATTCATAGAAATTTCATTGAAACAACGTGTAATGTAAATTTGAAACTAGTTTTATTGCTTTACATTTTTAAAAAAAAAATAAAATATTTCACATGTTTCCTATTCATTTTGTCTTTTTATTTTAAAGCTTTTAAGTAAAATATTTACATGTGTTTTGGAGAATTATTAATTATTGGAATGCTAAAACTTCAAAGAATTTCGGTTGTTAACAGTTAGCTTAGTTATCTTAAGTTCTTGTAAGAAAAAAATAACTTTTATTCAATCTAGATTAATTTATCTTGAACTGCTCTCAATACTACTATGTACTTACTATGTATACTTGAAGCAAATTTTTTTATCATTATTAAATTCCACAAAATATTAAGAAAGCAGTATTTCATCATAGGCATTTGTGCTAACTGACTTGACTTCTTGAAACTACTTGAACAAAAAAATATCTAGATACCTGAATCTTTTTCTTATAATGTTTATATAGTTTTTAATCTTAAAAAAATTACTTTTAACTTTAATAACACGGGAGTATTTGTGACCGCGTTGAAAAGCTGTTATTTAAAATTTGTTCACTAATAAAAGTTATTATTTAATAAAACTGAAATAAACAGCTTAGGCATTTTGCATATTTTTAGAGGAATGAGATTTTATTTAAAACGAGAAAAATAGTTTTTAGATTATAGGAAACAAAAATTAAACAACATCTGACTATAATTAATTTATGGCATAGATCTGATGCGAAAATTAGGTACTTAACTGGGTGCATTTCTTAGTGTCAACTACTGGCTGTCTTAAATTTAACGCTTTTCGAAACATTAAAAAAAAAAACGGTTATGGTTAAAATAAAATTCTTATAGCAAATTTGTGCTATAAGGCGTAAATTTATCTCCCAGTTTCTGGTTCAAAAATTTTCCAACAAATAGTGCTTTAAATTATTTATACTGTTTTTTCACCCATTCTCTGATCATTGCTTGTGACTAATGATGGGCATTCATCATAGTTTGTAATTTTCATTAATTAAAAAATTGAGAAGTTATTTTCAGTTTTTCTCTTATTTGTTTGTCAGGTTTACTATTTCCCTTCATCTGTTTGAAAATTTTTGAACTAAAAATAAAATCTCTGGGAGAAAGAATTATGCTCTGACATATGAATTAGGTGTAAATAGTTTTAAAGCCTTTATCCTTTTCCAGGGCCCCCAAATCCTTACAAACCACATTTTTTTAATGTAAGTTTGCTTTAGTTTTTTTTTTTTTTTTAAATTTATTTTTTAATATTTTGGTCATTCTTTGAAAATTAGTTAAAAGAAGTATTTCAGTTACCTGAAAATTGCACAGCACACATTTATATTCTTAAAAAGCCAAGGATTTTGTGCAGTTATGTTTATTGATCAGTATCACAGTCCTTGAACTTCAGGTTATTCACTATTCTTTCCTTGTGAGTTGTAACTGGAAATTCAACTATGACAGAGCTCATGTGCCTTTTATTTATTTGATTTAATATAGATAAAATCAAAAACCGAAATTTTTCTGCAGAATTTTTTATTTTAATTGAAAGATTTTATTAACATTATTCATTTCTAAAATTGTAAATATTTAATAGGTTGAACTGAGTATACTATTCACAAAGTTTACAAAAGTGATTGAAGTACATTATCTATTCTACTAAATTTGTTTCTTAATTTTGAATAATATTGTGAAGGAAAAAAAATCATTTAATAAATTTTCCTGCTATGAAATTTTTAAAGATGCGTTGGAGGTCATATATATACTTAATTACTATTTTTAGAAGTTTATAACAAATCTTAAATGATTAGCTGTTTCAAAATTTTTGAATTTATCTCTTTGTAAAGTTTTTTTTTGTCCAATTAACATTTAATAATCATAAAACTTTAAAAATTGTAACTTATTTAAAAATATAAGGTTCTGGTTATAAAATATTAAACTTATTACAATTCTTAAAAAAAAAAAAAAAATATGGAACTTTCAATCGCTTCTTAGCAAGAAATACCAATTTGGAGTTCTATAAGTAATCAATTCATAAAAGTGTCCGTAAACTTAAGTAAAATTTTTGAATATGTTTATGAAATTATATTTGGTTAACTATAATCCCTGCTAATTTTAATTTATATTGCTGTTAAATATGTAATTTAGAAAGCATGTTTTTTAAGTATTGTCTTATGCGGTGCAAAGAGTATTCTTTTACGTAGTTAATTCCCCCTCCCCCCCCCCCCCCCCNAATAAAGTGCTCCCCCCCCCCCCAAAAAAAAAATTCTATGTCATGTCTTCAAGGCTTATTTGTAAGTCGAAAATTGCGAAGTTAGCACTAAAGGATACTGTTCCACTAATCAAGATTTAAAAAAAATAACCTCGATTTTTTTAAATTTAAATCTGATTTTTTATTTTTATTAGATAACTAGTAACTTTTTAAGAATTTATAATTTTTTTACAGACATAAAACATGCAATTGAAGTGTAAAGTAATAAATATAATAAAATAAAAACTGTACCAAAAATCTTCAGAAATTTTTCTTTCAAATATTCATGTAATGAAACAATAAAATTATTTAAACATCACATTATAAAATTGACTATCTGATAAAATAAATTAGTTTTTAATTTAAGAGAAAACAGTGAATATAGAATAGAATAGTGAATACATTTATTTATTCACTAGAATAGGAGAAATAGTGAATACATTTATTTATTCAATATTTCTCCCAAGTTAAAGACAATCAGAAAAAAAAATCATGACTGAAATTAAATAACTAAAGATATTTTTCTGAAGAAAAAGAATAGTCAGAAAACAGTATGAAAGATGTTATATATGTTTTTGTATTAATTAAAAGTAATGAAGACTTCAAGGGAAAAAAATCAATCTAGTTCTTCATGATGTACTAAATTATTTTTAACATTTTCTAAAAATGAAGCATGGATTTTATGTACAAATATATTAATTTTCTTACTTTTCCATTTCTCAATTTATTTCTAGTTTTGCAGTGTACTATTATTAAGCACATGAAACCTCTCACAAATTCAGAAGTAAGCAATTGCTTTTTTTTTTTGTTGCTTCTTAAGAATTCTAATTTTTCAATGCCTTCCATTATTTTGTGAGAGACATTTGAGATGTCTTCAAAAAGAGATCGAAAGGATCAGCTCTAGCTATGTCAAAAAAAAAAAAAAAAAAAATTCATATTCATTTAAATTTTTACCTCAGAAATATGGATAAATCAATATGGAGTTTGAAAATTTGGTTATTGTGTAGGAAAAGAGTTGCATGTTTTAGTATTATATGTATGTATCACGATTTAAATTTGGGGGAACCCTGCCATTAACAGTAAAATTAGTGCTTTGTTAAGGGTTCTTATTATCTTACTAAATGTCTGGTTTTGAGGATTTTCAGTACTCGTGGGTTATTCTGATGAAGAAAATATATATATATGTTTAACACTCAATATTTTCTTAATCATGAAATTTTTAAAAAGTACAAACTTAAGGGCTCCATAACTATTTTATACATATTACAGTCAAACCCCGCTATAGTGAACTTCCGGATATAGTGAACAAAATGTTCAGTCCCGTGCCTTGCTATACACGTATAATATTATTTTTTTGTGGATATAGTGAACCAAAAAAGTGAGGAAGTTGGATATAGTGAACTTTTTTCTGTCTTCCACTGATTTTTTTCTTCACTTTTTTTGTAATAATTTTGAAATTTCTACTTCAAAATAAATAGATATACCGATTTTTAAAACCATCTATAAAGGGGAATGTAGCGATAAGTATTTTTTCTTGGTTGCTTCTTTTATCTCACTTTCCCATCCCTAAATATGCCAAGCATATGTTTCCAACCCAGGCAGATGATGTAAGGTGTCAGTGGGATCAATATGCATTTTCTGTCAGAGGGAATGAGTAATTAATTATTCATTATTGGTCAGAAGGTTGGACACTAATCTGTGTTGATAGGGCCCTCATTTCAACTCCTTTTTGCTCTCAGTTCAGTTAAAAAATGCCTGCAAACAAGTGTCTCAAATTCAACTATGGCGATCAGTAAACGTAAAACGTTGTCCATTGTTGATAAAATGGGCATAATCAGTAAAATTGAAAATGGATGTAATTAAGCTGATATTTGCAGGGTTTATAAACAATCCAAATCTACAGTTTGTAGCACATGGAAAAATAGACAATTTCTGCTCATGAAAAAATAATTTAGATGGCAGAAAAAAGTTGAGAGAGGCAGATCACAAGGATGTTGAAGAAACATTACTGAAGTGGTTCAGCATTCAAAGAAGCCGCAATCTTCCAGTATCTGGACAAATGTCGATTAATTTGCTAAGCAATTTTGTGAGACTACTTTTATGTGCTTGAATGGCAGGTTAGTTTAAAAAGTGGAATAACAGAAATTCAGGAAAAATTATCTGAGAGTCGGGAAGTGTTTCCATATCTGATATTGAGGATTGCTCATCAGCTAAAGATTACTAATTTTTTTATGTACGCAAGACGAAGAGTAATAAAAAATAACACATTTTTTGCTACTACATAATATTTTTCAGTCATTTATTTGAATAATGTGTAATAAAAGGGAAGAGTTTGGGAACCATTACTTAAATTGCCAGTGTAACGGATCAGTGAACTCCCGGTTATGGTGAAGCGAAACTTCGGTCCCTTGAAGGTTCACTATAGTGGGGTTTGACTGTATTAACAAATACAGTGATATATCTTCTGCTATTTAGATTAGCATATGAAAAATTTGAGTAATATATATATTTTTTTCAACACAATGGTTTTTCCTAAAAATTTCTACAACTATTTTTTAATTATCTAATTGAAGCGATACTGAAATTACTAATATTGAATTTTGTATTACTTACTACTAAACCTTATCTTCAAATTAGAGAAACATTTTCTAGTAATCAGTGTTTTTTACAAAAATTAATTTCCCAGTTTTGTAATTTTTACTTGTTTGAGTTTTTATCTTTCTAAAAGAGTCTTTCTCACTAATAAATTATATGTATTTTATTATCATATGTATTTAGGTGTTCTATATCCGCCTAAATCACAACACATTCTTATAAATTCGGTATAATCTAAATTAATCATAATTATTTTATAAAAAAAGCTCTAAATAACCTTATAATTCTTAAATAGTTACTTTGAAGAGGGAAAATTGTACATGTATGATGAAGATAATTGAAGAGGGATATCATGAACGTAAAATTAGACAGTTCTGGAGAAGTTTTTTTTTTTATAAATTATTGCACAAAATTGTTTTGTAGTAATATATAATGTGTGCAAATTTATTCAAAATGGAATTTAACTGTATTATTTTTAACAACTGGAAAACACGACAAAATAAATAAATCACAAAATAAGTGTCACAGTCATTTCATTTTTTGAAATAGCAAAATAAATTATGCTACCTTCTATTTAGCATCTAGTTTGACAAGTATTTCTATATAGAATTACTTATCTATTTAGTAAAAAAAATCATCCTATTTTGAGTTTGGAAACTTCACTGCTGTAAACATTAAGAGATAATATGAGCACGGTCTGAAACAGCCATTAACAAAATGATATTGTGAAGGCTAAAATGGAAAATTGTAATGTTTATAAAGATAGGAATATGCAAATTATATCTGCGATGTAAAACAAAACTATGCATTTTCAGGTAAGGATGAAAAGTCTGGTAGCATTCCTTCTGTAAGAAGACATCTGTTAAATGACAATGTCAACAATATTGCAGCAATGTGGCTTAAATCTGAAGTGGCATCAGTTATTTAGTAGGGGGTCAAATCCAATTGGTTGAAGTGCAAATGTTAGGAATTTCTCAAAGCATCATTTCCAGGCTATGAAATCAGTTTCTGGTAGTTTAAAATATTTGTCAAAGATCAGAACTAGGTCCTTGGCCTGCAAAAACACAAATTAAGGATTGGTTCTTCATCAGTGTTTGGAATTGACTAAGCTAAGCTGGAAAGCTAAATTGAAAGCAAAACAAAAATCGTTTTTAACTTTTGAACGATAGATTTAACACTAAAATCAATTTAACTTTTACACATTGCTGTATTTTTCGATAAAAAGTGATATAAAAGAATAAGGTTTATCAGAAACATTCTTCAAAAAATGCTGCCATAATAAAAATGTTGATAAAGAGAAAGGTTAATAAAAAAAATCAAAAGAGAAACAAAAAAAATTGTTTTGAAATATAACTTTAATGTTGAGAATCACAACATTCTAAGTTACTAATTATCTGTTTCACTGCATAAGAAAAAAAGTGACAATAAAGGAATTAAGTATATTAGAAATGATCAGTTAACATGCTTGGCTTTAGTTAAAACAGAAATATAAACAAAAATGAAAAAAAGTTCTCACTTTTTAAAATATAAAGAGTTGAAAGAACGAGCAAATTGATTTGCCTGAATATAATTTCAAAAAAAGAAAAAAATCAGCATTAAAAAACTTATGGTTCAGTATTAAGTGATCTAGTTTCAATTCTTCAAAGTTTGCTTTTCCATGTGCTTTTCAGAACATAAACTAACAAGTTTTAGAACTTAACAAACATGTGTAAAAACTATTTCTAACAATGTATTTCAAAAAATACTATTTCGTATATTATTCTTTGTTAAATCTTTTAAAATGCTCCCTTAAAAAAACTTTGTCTAAAAATAATTTTCCAAATAATACTTTGCTGAATATTTCGATTACCGAATATTGGGCCAAAGGGCTGAATATTCGTTACGTCTCTATTCCACATGGATTTGAAAATCCCGATATTTTCAATATAGTATTATTAAGACATGTGAGTTTTAAATTGCTCATTTAAATAATCACTCTCTAGCACACTGAATAAATTAAAAATCCTATTAGCGGTTCTTTGCTCACATTTTCGGCAGTTACTTCTATGTATTTTCACATGGTATTTAAAATCCTGCTATTTTAGTACAATATACTATTACAAAATCTAAAAATTCCGCTCCTAATTTTCTTGTAGTTTAAAATGTGCATTTCATAAAATAAAAAGTTTAATATCGAGAGCTACTACACCAAGAGTTATATTTTTTTCACCAAATTATTCCCCAATAAAAATATTCTTAACAGTCCTATGCAAAACTAGATTTGCAAATTGGTTTACATTTCTTAGAAACCTATTAATATTCTTCCATCTCTCAGTTCCACCATGATTTTTTTAAAAATCCAATTCTTCCAGTAATGTTTCTAGCCCAGAAAGAGCACTCATATTTGAAAGCATTTCATTTCACGCAATCATCATACTGAGTTAATTATGTACCAAAAACACTGATGTTTTCTTAAAAATTAATATAATTTTTATCAAAATTTCTAAATACCTGGGCACTTGCTCTTTTGGTCAGCCTGTTGCTCAAGGTTCGCCCTTCACTCAAAAAGATTGAACCTTGTCTTAAAATTCTATACTTATTTTAAAATTAAATTTTAAGGAAGTATGTTGGTAGTATTTTTAATTATTATCAAGGAAACATTGCAGAACACAGTGAGCTTTATAACATAACTTTACTGAACATTTTAAAATTTTATTACAGCATTCATGAAATCTGGATTAAAAAACGAATCAATGACGATGAAAAAAAATCTAAAGTGATTCCATGAACTTCGTAAAATAAAATGTATTTACAATAATAAAATAGTTTATAGTATAATAAGAGTTTTTAAATTTAAAAATCTTCATGAGTAGTATCCAATTGATATCCAAATCCTCTTTCCTTCAGGGCTTTGGTTCGCATTTTTTCTTTATCTTGTTTCAATTTTTGCTCGGTAACTTGAGCTTCGAGAATTTCTTCTTGAGAAACTCTAATTAGTTTTGAAGTACTGTCTTTATTATCATCAACTTCGCCAAGCAAAACAACATTGTCGCCTCTAACGATAAAAACACCAAGAGCTATTTCACCAAATTTTTTACCAACATGAATTCTTTCAACAGTCCTATGCAAAACTAGATTTGCAAATTGGTCTATACTTCTTAAGAAACCTATTAATATTCTTCCATCTCTCAGCTCCACCATAATTTTTTTATCTACTTCTTCCAGTAATGTACATAGCCCAGGAAGAGAACTCATTTTAAAAAAATGATTTGATAGATAAATTTTAATCAAAATCAATAAATGTTTATTAAGATAAATACAATTTGATTAGATTAATTTGCTACTAATCTTTACTGCTGTCGCAGTATAGGTTTGTTTCAATTGTTTATATCAATACAGCAGTGTGTATAAAAGCAAATGATAGTAATGGTTCTAACTGAAATATCTTGAATACGTTTTAGTTCGTAAAATGTCAAATTATTTCACCAAGTCAATAAAAATCGTTTACTTGAGACTCAACAGTTTAAAAGATTTAGTGCAACATTCTTGGAAAAAAGACACCTCATTGATAGATTGATATAAATATTTGCTTGCTTGTAACTTTATTTTAATCGCGACGAACTATAGGGGGCGTTGTTGCATGCGACGAATTCCTGCGATTTGAATAATCATTCAGTTGCTCTGCATCTGCATTGTAACGTTCCTTCTTTATTGTGGCTTATTTAATTAAAAAAAGAAAAAGGTTTGATATTCTTTCTTATGCTAGCGAAAACAAAATGGTATCTCTTTTTTTTTTTTTAGAAAAAGAACGTGCAAAACATTTGTAAATAAACGGAAAAAATATGTATCTTCTTATTAGAGTTAAAACCAATGACTGAGAAATAGTTTTCCTAACTTTAATGATATAGAATGAAAGGCCTATGAAAAATTTACATTCTATAGTTTTAATAATCATTCAAACATCAAAATAAGCAAAAAGTATACATAAACTCATAATTTAGTTTTGTAAAGAGCTGCTTCAGTGAATGAAGTGAAGGTTATTCCTTCTCTTGGTAAAGGTGGTATAAGTGATGTTGTAAACAATGTTTCTAGAACTAATGTTGCTGGTTTAAATATTATGAACTCTGATGTTGGTGTAGTAAATAATATGTGTTTAAATAACATTAGAAATAATTCAACTTTTCATGATTTAAATGAATATGATGTTCTTAATAATAATGCTTTGAAAATTAACAATTCTGATCCAGTTCCTAAGCCTTATAAGGTAATATTCAAGGTAAATGGCTATAATATTGTTATGGAGTTAGACGCAGGCTATGCTGTGTCTTTAATTAATGCTAAAACATATAGTGAATTAGGTGCTTCTGCTCTACAGCCTGTAGATACTATATTGTCCACTTTTACAGGGCAATCAATTTCAGTATTGGGTAGTATAGAATATAATGTTGAGTATAGTGGTAAAGTAGTTAAAGTTCCACTCCAGGTTGTGGGGGAGGGGGGGCCCGAATCCATGTGGCAGGAACTGGATTGAAATATTTAAATTGTTACCTGCACATAATTGTTTAAATATGATTGATTTAGAAATGAATCAAATATTAAGTGAATATGCAGATGTGTTTTCTAACGAGCTTGGCCTTTTCAAAGAGGCCAAAGTGAACTTTATGTTAAAAGATAATATTAAACTTGCTTTCTATAAAGCCAGAACTGTACCTTTCACTATGCGGGTTAAGGTTAAGGAAGAATAAGAGCGGCTGGAAGCTGCAAGTATCATTACCCCTGTTCGATATTCAGATTGGGTTTCTCCTATTGTACCAGTGATAAAAGGGGATAAATCTTCTATTCGCATTTGTGGAGATTTTAAGTTAACTGCTAATATAGCTATCGACCCTGACAAATACTCGCTTCCGAAGCCTGAGGATTCTTTTGCCAGCTTAGCTGGTGGAGAACAATTTAGTAATTTGGATCTTCGTGAGGCATACAACCAGTTGGAGTTAGATGAGAATTCTAAATTACTAACAGAAATTAACACCCATTTAGGGCTTTTTAAATACAATAGATTGTCTTTTGGTGTTACACCAGCACCCGCGATTTTTCAAAAAGTAATGAAAACAACACTGAAGCGTATTCCAGGTACAGGAGTGTTTCTCGATGATATCCTGGTTACTGGGCATACTAAGTCAGAACATCTCCATAATGTAAGGGAAGTACTAAGCTGCAAGTAGCAGGTTTGAAATTAAAGAAAGAAAAATATAAATTTTTGTGTGATTCCTTAACATTTCTAGGTCATGTAATTGGTAAAGAGGGAATCCGTCCTGTAGGGGATAAAGTTAAAGATATCAAAGAGGCCCCTATTTCTAAAAGTGTAGGGGAACTTAGGTCGTTTTTAGGTTTAATTACTTTTTATTCCAAGTTTTTGCCACAGATGAGCACTAAGCTGGCCCCATCGTACAACTTACTACATCAATCAGCCTCATGGCAATGAACAAAGAAAGAAATCATTGGATTCAATGTGGCTAAACAGGCTATTTGTAATTCAGGACTGTTGGTCCATTTTGATCCCGAGAAGGAATTGACTTTAACTTGTGATGCATCACCTAATGGTATTGGAGCGGTATTATTCCATACCATAGATGGTGAAGATAAACCGATTGCTTTTGCCTCGAGGACCCTTTCTCCTGCAGAAAAAAATCATTCTCACTTATAAGAAGAGGTATTAGCACTAGTGTTTGGTGTAGTTCGTTTCCGCGATAATATGCTGGGTCGTGCTTTTGTTTCATACACCGATCACAAGCCGTTAGTCACCTTAATGTCTGAAAAGAAACATGCACCAGCCATTTCAAATTCGAGGATACAGAGATGGGCCATTACTCTTTCAGCTTATACGTATACTGTTCATTATAGTTCAGGTGTTCAGAATGGAAATGCTGATGCCTGCAGTAGATTACCATTACCAGGTTCTTTTTTAGATCCCCCTGTGACGCAGGAACTGGTATTGAACATAGAGAGAGTAGATCTAGCCCTGTGACAATTGCAGATATTAGTAAAGCTACGAGCAGCAATGCAACTCTGAGGAAAGTTTCAAAATTAGTGTTAGAGGGATGGCCAGATAACTTAGGTTCTAGCAGTCCAGATTATAAACAGATGTTGCCTTATTTTAGGAAGTGTTTGGAACTCTCTTTCGAGGGTAATGTTCTGCTATAAGGTAATAGGGTGGTTGTCCCTGCCATTTTAAGTAGTAGTATCTTGCAAGAACTGCATAGTACACATCAGGGAATCTCAGGCATAAAGAGCATTGCTCGTTCACTGCTCTGGTGACCCAATTTCGAGGTAGACTTTGAGAATATAGTCAAAAATTGCAATAGTTGCATTCAGAATTCTAATTCTCCTGCTAAAAGTTTACAACCTTGACCCTCAGATAATCGTGTTTGGTCCAGAATACACATAGACTATTTAGGCCCTTTTGAAAATCATATGATATTAATTATTCAAGATACATATTCTAAATGGATTGACGCTATAGCGGTGAAAAGTGCTACATCTGAAGTAACATTAGAGAAATTATATGTTATATTTTCTAGGTTTGGATTCCCTGAATGTATCATTAGTGACAATAGGTCAGTGTTTCGATCAAATGAGTTTGAAGCTTTCACTAAACATAATGGTATAAGACATTTGTTTTCTGCTCCTTATCACCCTTCCTCAAATGGTCAGGCAGAAAGAGCAGTTCAGTTTATTAAACACCGATTACGTAAGGTAGTAGGAGATTCTATGAGTGTCAGGTTGTCAAGAATTCTAATGAATTTTAGACGAACACCACTTACGTTACATGGTGTTTCACCAGCAGAGAGTTTGTTGGGTAAACAGATTCGCTGCCGTCTAGATTTAGTGCATTCATATTCTCCTAAATCAAATATTTTAGCCGGTAGAAGTTTTAAGGGTGGTGAGGGTGTATATTTTCGTAATTATGGACTAGGAGAGAGATGGGTTCCTGGTACAATAGGAAATGAAATGGATCGAGTGGTGAACTCGAAAGACTCAAACGCTGAGAGGTATTTAGATCAGTTGAAGGCTCTTGCTGTGCCAATTGCTGATTAGGGTCAGCTAGGTACGACTGTTGTGCCAGATGAAGTGCAACCCCTGACTGAGGTGGAAAATATTTTTCCACCACCAACGGTAACAAGTTCTGAAAAGGACTCTGAAATAGTATGTTCTTCCAGTCAGGACTCTGTTAAATCCCGTCCTACCAGACTGAGAAAAATGCCATCTAAGTATAAGGACTATTGCCTTAAAGTGGGGAAGGAGGTGTCATATCCTGCAACTTCTACTTACACTATGACAGAAGCACTGCAACCGTGTTCGGTGTTTTGTTGTTGTTCCTGTAAGCATGTAGCCATGTGCATGTACTCAAGCTGTTATCTTATTAAGTAACAATAAAGTTGTATTTGATCCTGTACAAACGTTTCCGTTTAATTACAAGTAATTATAACAAAAGTTGAGCTAAATTTTCCACATAAGTCAAAATGCTAATTAACATGAAGTTAATTAAATACAGCCCTGCATCACACATTGAATTTGTTGAAATATAACTCTTTCTGAGATTTATTATTTGATAATGTATATTATTGCGATGCGTGATTTGTTTTTATTTTGTGTACCTGGCAACTTCAATGCCTAATTAGTTTGTTTGTGTTCTACATTGCTTTGTGCCTTTCTTTGTGTTAAGTAAGAAATATATGATGAAAGAATTGAAATCATTGTATAAGAATCTATGTGAAGGATTATAGAATGTATCATTAAGAGAATTTATGCTTTATGGAGTAAGTTAACTCAAAATAGAATGGAAAGAACAGTTGCTAACGTAAAAAAGCCACGTTTTAACAACCAATCAGGTTCGAGATACCCAGACTTAGTCTCTTGTAGGTGTTTGATTATAATTTTTGTCCAAACATTAACCCCTCATAATATTTGAATGACTTCTTTATTTTCAGCATCTTCAGCTGAATAATCACTAATAACGACACCTTTACTCTTGTGGAACAGATAAACTTTAACAATTTTAAACAGTTCCAATGAATTTGAGTCAAGGCAGATTCAGATTCTTACTCTGACAATAACTTTATACAAATTACGCTCTACATATGATGCTCTTTTTCCCACCAAACATAACTTGTGCTAAGATAATTTTATGATGTGAAACCAACTTATAAGCCCTTGCACACGAATTCTTAATTTTTCTTTCAGAGTTAGAATCACGTAATATTCTAACAGGAATTCTTTGGTCATCAATAATAACACGTGCAATCAATCCTTATAACATGAAACGGAACACTTACAGGACGTGGTTACAATTTCAATTTCCTTTTGGTCAGCCTTCATATTATCATCATTAAAAGAATTAGGACACATAATTGAGAAATGTGCTTTTTTACATTCCACGTATTTCACAAGCACTCGACAGACAGATATGCGATGCAAGGACCTGTTCTTGAAAATTTAAAGCAGGCCCTTTTCCTTTTTAAAACAGCACTATGTTCTTCAAATAATGAATCTAAAACGAGAGCACAATCCTATGAACTACGATTTGTTCTAGAGCAGAATCTATAACTACCCTCCGATACACGCTATTAAAATTTTTCTAAGTTTAGTTACTTTAGACTTGCAACAACATTTAGCAGTATATTCATGAAAGCTCCTTCTTAAATTCAATCTCTCTTCACTTTCAACTTCAATTTTTAAAAACTGAAGTAATTCTGTTAAGCAATCGGATTGGTTGGTGCCCAGAATAATATGCCTTTCAAAAATTTTTATTGATTCGAAATTTTAATGTTTTTTCCCCCCAGTTCTTAATGGTTAAAATGCACCTTAAAGGTGATGAAATGACCACCAGTAGTAAATTGCGTGTTTCTTCTTATATCTTAAAAACCATTTTTATTTCAGGGCATTTAGATTTTGAGTGAAAACGAAACACGACAGGATTTTAACTTTCTAGTTTTTGGGGTTAAAAATTTTTAAGCGGCGTTTAAAAGTGTTTCGACAGTCTAGGGTTAAGAAAAAATTAAATACACTTTTAGAAACATAATAAACTACTTACCTGTTATACATTTTAAAGATAATAATTATATTGAGGTCTAACAAACCTAATTTTATAATTTGTTTAACTAAATTGTTATAAATAGTTTTATAATTTGTTAAAATAATAGTTTTTTAAAAATAAAATAAGCCAATAAAAAATGAAGTGCTTATAAAAATTAAACATAAAATTATGAAAAAATGTTTACAATTTTTTCCAAATTATGTAAATTAAATTTTTAAGCGATTGATAAACATTTTCGAAAAATTAAAGAAATTTCATTTTTTAAGGGGCCCTGACTATAGTGCCCCTCTGAGCTCTACAGTCCCGCAGTGGACTGATCATTAAGACACGGTTCAAAGCAGATCACCGAAGTGAAGCATCACTGACTGCGGTCAGTGTGCGGGTGGGTAACCCACTTGGATCAGTCTGCGTAGGGACCGAGGGTGTGCGGTATTGGTCCTCGTTAAACTGTGCTACCGTAAAGTGCTCGACTTCGCGTGCAGGTCGTCGGGCTACCGAAGCGGGGGTGCCATCCCCTCTGCAGAGGATCAAAATTGTGATGGCATGTCTTCGGATCATCCTCAGGGATGTTTCCCAGACAGTCGCCAATAGCCCATTGTGCAGCTCTAGTGCGACGTAAATGAACTACAACAACTCTGAGCCCTACACTCCCAGTCCTACCTTAAGTGTCGATTAAAAGTAAAGATTATAAAATTATATAAATTTTATTAATAAGATATCAAGATGATATTTCGGGAGAAACTTACTTCGGACGCGATAATTTTACACTTATGTTAAGGATGGGGGGGATTTTTTTGAAAAATTTGAATGGTTAGATACACAAATTTTAAATTTAATTTTACACTGCAAAATACAAAATTTGAGCGAAGTCTGTTGAATAGTTCCTGAAAAATCGAATTTTTAAAAAGCCGTATATTTAAAATTTGATTTCTTAGAAACTATTGCACTTACAAGTCAAAACTTTTTCGGCTTTTATTAAGTAAAGTAATAAAAATTATAAATATTTACTGACATTAAATTTTTGAGGGGAATTATCTTGGGTAAACGAATTTTATAATTGTGTGCAAAAGTTTTTCAGTTTGCATAAAAAGTTCTCTAGTTATGGTTTTGTGACTTTGTGTCTAGACCTGTTCCATGTCTTGACCCTCCCCCTTTCAAAAATATTTTTTAAAATTTCCAAAGTGTTTTCTTTCAGATCTATGTTTAATGCAGTTTTCGGTTCTTTTTAGTTTCCCAACTAAAAAGTTTTTACTCTATTTAAAATCAAGACAGAAACTAACGTATTTCCTTCGCCTATGACTCTCTACACGCTAAAGCATGTGAAGTATTGTCATAAGTAGCGAGTTCTGCTCCACGCCACCTGTACATAACCTCTTCTAGATGATTATGGCCTGTAGCCCATTTCGATCGCAACGATCGAATACGCCATCTGGGGAGAGACCGGTTTCATGCCTTTGGCCCTCCTCCCTTCCCTTCTCTCCTTTCTCCTTTGGCCCTCCTCCTCTTTTCAGTTGTATAGGATTGTACTACGATATTTTCCCGTTTCTTAATATTTTTCCTTTTTATTTAATAAAAATATTTTTAAAAATTTCCATGATGCTTTTCCTTGTTGTTTTTATAGTTCATTTACGTCGCACTAGAGCTGCACAATGGGCTATTGGCGACGGTCTGGGAAACATTCCTGAGGATGATCCGAGGACATGCCATCACAATTTTGATCCTCTGCAGAGGGGTGGCACCCCCGCTTCGGTAGCCCGACGACCTGCACGCGAAGTCGAGCACTTTACGGTAGAACAGTTTAACGAGGACCCATACCGCACACCCTTGGTCCCTATGCAGGTTAATCCAAGTGGTCACCCACCCGCACACTGACCACAGCCAGTTATGCTTGACTTCGGTGATCTGCTGGGAACCGTGTCTTAACGATCAGCCCACTGTGGGACGATGCTTTTCTTTAGAACTATGTTTAATGTAGCTTTCAGTTTCATATAGTTTTCCAACTTAAAAGATTTTAATCCATATGAAAATCAGGAGAGAAACTAACGTATTTCCTTCCTCTATGACTCTCCATACTCTAATGGGGAAAGCATGCGAAGTGTTGCCATAGGTAGAGAGTTCTGCTCTACGCCACCTGCAGCCCATTTCGATCGCCAATGACCAACTCTATTCCAATGACGAAATACGAAGGAAGGAAAATTATTAAACGAATCAAATTTTTGACAGCTCTCCTGCTAAAAGTATTGATTCCAAATATTTTCCAGATTGCGGCATCCTCCCATATCTTGCTGGTCAAAACCGTTACGATTTCTAATTTACGTAATTCATTCGTCGTAATTTTCGTAAATCTTTCCCTTTTAACGCAAACGTGATTTTTAAATTTTTAAGGTACTGTCATCTAGTGGTGAAATTTACTACTACCAAACTACTGTTGAATCACAGGTTAATTTCAGTGTTTTGGTTGCACCTGCAACAGCTGCTTGGTTATACTATGTTTTTCTCAATTTGTTAACTTGATGGGCTTATAATAGTGGGATCTTTGAATAATAAATCATTTTTACTGGAAAACACGTGTGCATTTTATTCGTTGAATTGAATCGAGTAATTAATACAGAAATTAAACTTGAGTTTCTTCTTTCAAGAAGTGTTCTGATTGACTGATCGTGATCAGTATTTCGATTTTTACAGCAAAAATCCCCCGATGACTCATCAGACGACTCTCACCTTATGTTGACAGGTGAATCAAGTTAACTGATCTCGACTTGTTAGGTTAGTTAAATGATGGCTAAAATTTTGAAACACTTCGTATTCGGTCAAAAGAAAAATCCTCCTGCTCCTCCGAGACCAGATTATCAAGGAGAGCGTAAGTTACTGACTTTTAAATTTTTTAACTATGCTTTTTTTTTTAATTCCAAAATTAAAATGTGATTATTTGGTTTTGGTATGGTTTCTTATTAATCTTTTTGATGAATAGGGAATATTATTTGCTCGTAAATTTTATAAATTGTGTAACTTTTGAAATTAATGTGATTTTATTTTGTTAAATTGTTTTTATTCTTTAGCAGTGATATAAACCCGTAAAGAAGTATTTAGTCAATAATAGGCTGGAATTGAGTATATTATTGTGTATAATAATTTCTCTATTGAGTATAATAATCTCTCTATTAAGTATAATAATCTCTCTATTAAGTATAATAATACTAATAATAATCAAATTAATAATAATCTTCCTTTAGCATGCTGGAAAGTTTATTATTGAATAATAAAATTTCTATTGAGTATAGTACTACTCTATCAGTAAAATACTGGTATTGAGTACAATAACACTCTGACAGTAGTGTGCTAAAATTGAGTATAAAAATATTCTGTCAGTAGCATGGTGGAATTGAGTTTATTATCATATATAATAATCTGCAATTGAATTTCTTATTTACTATTGAATAAATATTTACTTAAATTTTCACGGATAATTTAAGTAGATTTTGAATAATTTAGGTGAATTTTGATAGTTGCTTGAAGAACAGTTTGTATAGATCAATTTACTGTAGTTTGCGAGCAAAACAATTGAATTTTTTTCATTAATTTATGTATATTTTTATACATTATAAAAAAATGCCAAACTAAGGAATTTTCAGATTGTTATATTTTTTAAAATTGTAGTGTTACTAAATTTTGTATTATTTTTTTTAGCCATCACATTATCATATTTCTTTTAAAAATTCAGCCTAAACTATAAAAGAAAAAACTAGAATACTTAAAGGAGTGTATGCTTGTTATAATTTGACTTTTTCTGGAAAATGATCTTAATAACTATAGAAAATTAGCCACTTGTAAATAGTAATGGATATTTAAAAAATTTTGCAACTTGACAAAATTTTATTTAGAAATATATTTTTAGCTAATTCAGCATTTTGAAATTTAAATGTTCCGAGAAGTCAAGTACCATAGGACCATTTGATAAAATTTCTGGATCCTTAAAAATTTTTGTAAAATTTGATCACAGTTAATCTTACATTTATCTTTTTTAAGGAACTTAAATAACATATCTTCACTTAAAAAATTATATAAAAATGATTAAAGAAAAGGATAAGTCTGGGATTAAAGAAAGAAATTTGCATCAATAAAGGCGAAAACTGGCATTTTTCATTTTATCCTTTACAAATACAAATCTAGTTTCTTTTTTTAATTGTATACCAAACATAACCCGTAAAAATTATGACCAGTTGATGGTTCCAATGAGTAGCCTGGATTTTTTTTATTTTAATTAAGTTTTCTGCAAAATCTACTTGCACAATCTCAATTCATTTTTTTAAAATTTTTTCAAAGAATTTGCTGTATTGTTTTTTGATTTAAATGAGTCTTAAAAATATACAAATATGTGGTTTCATTTTTATTCAATCTTTGTATTCTTTATTAACAGCTTTTCAGTTTTCTGTGGTTCACTGCTCCGATTTTAAATTTGTTAAATTTTGGACATTAGGATACGTTACATCAAAATGATTTTTACTAAGCTATGGTAAACTTAGTCAAGCTTATAACTTTATTGTAGAAATAGCGCAGATAGTAATAAAATTGGATAGCCAGAAATTGTAGGCTAAATTTATGCATTTTACATGTTTATTAAAATTAAATTGCATTATTTATCTGTTCGTGCATATTTTTTTGAAAATATTTTATTGGATGTGTTTTGAATTTCGATACTGACTTAAAATTAGTTTGTTTCATTCTAAAGGTTTTTAAAGTTCAAACTAAATCAGTTATATATTTATATATATTACATTATCATTAAAACCTCTAAATTAAAAACTCAATGGAACTATAATTGTTTCTCATTTATATGTGAAGTAATTCTGGTTTCTATAAAAGAGCATTTATTTCTAAATCCAATAGATTCTTGGTACATAAATAGTGATGTAGCATTTTTGGTAACAGCAAATTATACTTAGTGCCTTCTGGTAAAAGTTTAGTTGTAATAGTAATAGTCGTGATTAATTTTTTTCGCTGTTTAATTAGTTGTTTTAAGGATAAAAGTTAATATACCCATCATATTCTGATAAAGAAATTTGTTCAAATGACAACCATAATCAAAATTTTCAACACTGTAAAAACATGTAGTAAAAGTGACATTGACCTAATATTTTCTGCTAACAAAAAAAAGTTCAGAATCAAGAAATTCATATATTTATGAAGAACATGTTATATTGCAAGTGACGAAAGATCAAAATTTAAGTGTCTTGTTTCATTTTCTTCAGAATTCATTATTAAACTTTTTGTATACTCTATGTGCTGTTTTATTATAAATCTCAAAAAATAGCTAATATAAAATATAAAAGTAAGCTAAAAAGAAAGTTGCATTAATGTAAGTCTTTTTTTTAAAAAAAGATTTTAGTTTATTTGGATTAGTTTTTCAAAGAAAATAATTATTTAAAAATTATCACTTTTTAATAATTTATGGATTGAATATTTTTGTTAGCTTCCTAAAAATATTTTTTAATGCAAAAATGGTTGGTACACTTACAAATTCATGCAGCTAAAGTTTGACTTCAGACTTGCACAAGTTAGTGAAAAATTGAAATTTCACTCTCAGATTTTAGCAAATTGTATTGTACATTTTTTTTAATATCTTTAAGCATAATTTTTTTATTATTTTGACTTAAATAAAAAACCATGAAATATATATTGCTTGTTATTTTTAAAGTCTGTTTGAATGATCATTAAGTTTAATTTTGTAATGAAAATTGAGAACATTCAATTTAATTAAGCAAGTTAAGCATTTTCAGAAATGTGTTGTCTTATACCAAATCTTTTGAATGTAGATAAAAAATTAAATAATTTGAAAATCGTATTTATTTGGGAAAGTTTGTTTTTAGAAGGAGAAATAAAAATAATTGATAATGGAAAACATGAATTTGTAACCGAAACTTAATTTAGAATTGATATTAATTGTGTTAAAATTAAGAAAAAGTATGTATTGAGAACTTTACAATGCCTAATTAAATGTTTTTATTTTTTCCACACAAAGTTGGCAAGTAGTCATTAAATATTAACATTCTAAAAGTGACTTTTTATATTTTACAGAATGCCCCAAAGAAGAATTTCTAGATCATGATTATGAAAATATTCCTAAATTTGGAGCTGATCAGAAAAAAGAGGTTGTTTTTCAAGAGAAAAAGAAGCCTGAGGTACTCACAACTTCGTAGATTTATATTATAGGAATGAAAATGATTATTGAATATGATTATGTAAAATGCAATTTTATTATGATTACTGACAGCTAGTGATGTTCTCAAGTGAAAATATTATATGATTTAGAAACTACTGTCTTGTCCAGTATTTTTTATTTTTTTAAAAAAGAAATCAGCTTATAAAATTTCTGAAAGATGCAATCAGTGAAGATTGGCAACAATGGGGGCCCCTTACGTTAATATTTTCTGGATCCTTCCCTCTCAGATGGGATTGAATGGGATGCAGTTTAATCTTTTACTCTTTATATTAAATAATTAATTGAACTAATTTAGATTCATTAAAAGGGATAGCTGATAATTCATGACCATATTTTATTATAACCAATATTCATACTAAAATACAAGCTGATTCGATAGTGTCTTTCCTACTTTATAATGCAATGACAAATGTTATTGAGACATCCGTTTGTTTCACATGTCTTGCAAAAGCAATTCCTTTACTTAATTTTTATTTTTGCACTTAGTTGGCTTGTAAGAATTCTGTTTTTAAATGATATTGGTGTAGAAACCTATGTTTATTGTAGTTTGTAGAAAAAAAAAAAATCTCAGTTCAATTTGCAAGCATTTCTTCAAATATGTTAAAGCTTTCCTTAGTAGATTTAGACTATCACAGCCCATACTTGCAAATAAATTAAAGACTAGGTCAAAAGTGCTGCTCAGCCGAGTCTTACAAAAACAATAAGAATTTGCTATCATTTTTAGTTTATGCACTATTTCTTTTTTACTTTTGCTCTTAATTTTTTTTTGAAAAAATATTCAAATATTTTTAAACAAATCATTATTTTTCTTTCTCTTTTACAAAATACATAATATCTATTTGAAAGTGTGGAAAAAATTTCTATTTATTATTTAGTCGATACTAATTTGTTTTCTCATTTAATTTATTTTATTTCTCTAAATATATGAAAGAAGGGGGTACAATTTGTCACAATTTTATCTACATACCTTAGGCTTGTTGAAAAGTTTCACATTTATTTAGACCTGCTTGTGTAGATAATATAAAATAATGCTGCAAGATGCACAATTTTAAATTCTACATTGTCTTAGAAACAATGGACACAAAATTTCAACCCTTTTTCCTTTATATTAATAAAAATTCAATTTTAAATCCTTTAAGTGTATTGCTCTGAACTAACACTTTATTATGACCATTTCATTTGACAGTTTAATGTAATTGAAGTATGGCAGCACGATGTTTGCTAGCTGATCAGGTTGGTACTTGCATGCTTTGGGATCTTTATTTCATGTCAATGTTAGTCTGAATAAGGCATCATATATCTAAATGCCATTTAGTACATCCTGTACTGCTGATGATTTATCCCTAGTGGTGATTGATACCTTCAGGTAACGGATTTGCTGGAAGAATATGATGGTTACTTCATTTCCTTTTTCCTTACACTGGCCATAAAAATTTTGAGATCTCAAATCTATGGAACATTAGCGAGATGAAAATTTATTCAAAAAGATGCATTCTTTATCTGGATCGATAAAGTATTGTAATAAATTTTGTGCTGCAGAAAAAGCAACATAATCATATATATTACAATCGAATGATTACTAAATGGTTCCTAATAAATATTTACACTTGTATGAAAGTTCAAATAACACTATTCAAATAATACCTGAGACAAAATAAATTAAATTTTGTTTTAGGAATTAAATTTTTGTTCGATGATTTATGCAGTTTTTACTAAAATAACTATTACATTACAATATGAATGAAAAAAAATTATCTTGGTATAGGACATAGTTCTGAAAGCTTCGTACCATTTTTAAAATTTCCACTTTTAGACCCTTAAAGTTTTAACAAGAGATTTTTTATTAAGACTCGTATAACAATGATAATAATAATAATAAAAAACTGAATTATTTACGTCATCTAAATTACGTTTGCACATGATTTTATCTTTTTATCGTACAACCTCAACCCTTCTAATTATGGATTATAGTCCTGCATTCATTCAAAACCTTAAAAGGGAGAGAATGCAAGAAATTGAATTGGACACTGCATCTCTCAAAAAAGAACATTGTATTTCACATAAAATTGTGTAGTTCTTTAGAGACATACAATATTCCAGATTCAAAATTTTTTTAACTAAAAATTATTAGTGTGATAAACTTGCACATTCTACAAATCGGTTTTAAAATGTGCGAAATTCTCGCAATTCGAAAGTTTTGCGTATTGTATAATATTGTATTAATATTGTATCGAGATTTTCAAAACCAGGTTGAAACCTACGGAAGAATTTGGAAATGATCGAAAAAAAGTTAACCAACTGTAATAACTGTCGATAAAACGATTGAAAAATGATGTTGAATTATGACGCTTTTGTCGCGAATTGAGATTAAACATGAAATTAGTGTGTTACAGCATTAAAAATATCGTCCTTTTAAAGAAAAAAAAATGTAAAATGTACCGTAAAAACGAAAAATAACTGTTAAGAAAACAGTGGGAAAATAACGTGGATTAACGGATGAAAAATTCGCGAATAAAGCCTGTAAAAAAGGGATTACACAATTTTAAAATTCGGATGTCGTAAAACGACATTATCGTATTAAACAATTCAAATCTGAAAAAAACTACGTGGAAATGGTTTGAAAAAGCTATGGATAACTGAAGAATTTATTTTGGCATGATAGCGTACTGTTGGTAAATAGAATAAAAAAATAAAAAAACCCTTACGAAAAACAGGTATTTATTGTATACTTTATTTTGTAAAGTATTCTTTATCTAGCTTGGGCGAATGATGTGCATCGAAAACTGAAAACGTGGTTTAATTGAATATGACACATAAACATGTCTGTTTTTATGAAGTTTACTTTCAAGAATGTATATAATTTCTTGACAAGGAGTCAAATTATTCTCAATTTAGCCTGATTTACAACAGTTCGTAATAATGCATGTATCTGGTTCTCAAGTTTAATAAAAAGTAATCGTTCAGAACTTCGCTCTGAATGCTTCTTTTTTTGTTACTAACTCTTTCTGCTAGTTTCTCTTTGTAACAGCCTAACAGAAAAAAAAAAAAAAAAAAAAAAAAAAAAAAAAAAAATGTGCAACGCTGCGTAAAGTAGGCTAGTTTTCAAGTCTTATTTTCCGGTGTTTTTCGGTTGTCCTTGTCGCCAAATTTCTTCACTATGACGGAATTCGTTACACTTTCTTCACACAAAAAATGAATAAATAAATTAAAAAAAAAGCTAGCTTTGTCCCACGAAATCCGCTCACTAGATTTCCTGGACGTAATGGTTAAATTGTGTAATGAGTGTTCGGAAACTTTAATCGCTGTAAATGGAAATTTGAATTGTTAGTTTTTTCTTTATCTCTGTTAAGAAATCTCACTTTTTTTGTTTTTGTTTTTTTTCCGTGATTCTTTTTTGTTAAAATTGAGTTTAATCCGATTTTATTCTGAATGAAATAACGAATTTATTCTGAATAAATGACGAATATTATTGTTAAACTATAGCAGTGTGACAACAAAAAGGTTTAAATGTGTTCACACAGTTCTATGCGTCAAGAAGGCTTAGCCCGACTTGGTATAATAAAAACATTTTTATTTATAAAAGAGTTCTTCAGAATATTAACATAGTAGCCTAAGTATGAAATTCTTGCTGTCACTTTTGGCAGTGTTGTTTTATTTTAAGATAAGGATTAAATTTTTGCTTTCTACCAGATAAGAGTGTACATAATGAAAGATAAGAATTACTGGTTCCTTGAAAACTATCGATATTTCTTGAAAATTGAATTTCTTGATTGATATCAAATCCTGTTACATTGTTCAGACCAGGGATGGCAAGTTTCATCCAGAGTAGAAAAAACAGTGAAAAAAAAAAAAAAATCAAGGAAAAAAAAACTGGTGTGGAGGAAATAGGTTTCTTCCAACCCAAGTAGAAGAAACTACTTCAAAATAAATTGTCAAATATTAAAATAATGTTTTTGAGCAGTTTATAATTACAATCAAGTTTAAACAATAGCTTCCAAGCTATTTAATATATCTCTTTTTAGTAAGTGAAAATTTAAAAGCAACAATTGGAAATAAAAAATAAATGTAACGCATTTCCTCAGAATTTTTGCAATTCCTTTCATTGTAAAGGAAGGAGCATAATGGGGCTAATTTTATAATTAAAGAGCTGTTAAAATAGCACAATCAAAATAATTAATGCTTAATTTGTAAATCAATTACTAAACATATAATCTATGTTATTTGAAATATAGGCTGGATTTAGAATTTCACAGATTGAATTTAGAATTTCAAATTGCGTAATTTTTCATATCAAATATTATTAATTATGAATACTCAATAATGATATGTACATTTTACACGGCGAAATACGAAAGAAGCGAAATTAATATTGAGGGAATAAAATTTTTGATTGCTCTCCTGCTTCAACTATTGATATCGTATTATCCAGATTTCGGTGAACTCCCATATTTTGATGTTCAGAAATCAAAGTTCAACAAACAACATGCATATTTATTTGGACAAAGTACGTTTCTGTGGCTGATTGTGTAACTTAAATTATCGTTTGCTTTAATTAGCATATTTCAGGTTAGGCCCTCGAACTTTATTCAGTCCTAGTAGGGCAATTCCATATGTGACGGAATGACATTTTGACTTGCATGATGACAATTAATTGAAGTTTCTATGCATCTAATTTCAAATAAACATGATTTTTTCTCATGCATATCATTATTTTTGGTATAATGTGATTCATAAACTAAAAAAAAAGAATTTTTTATTTTTAATTTTATGAACTTTTTACTTGTGTGACGGAATGACATTTTGGCAACCAAGCTTTCGGCATGCCGCTTAGAACTGGTAGTTTCTGTGAATTTTGCAACTATTATTTTCCTGAACTATTTTTTACTTTTAGTATAATGTGTAAGCAATGTAAATTGTGAATTTGGAAAATTAACCTCAGGTTGGCTAGCAGTTATTAAC